GGAGAGCCCTTACAAAAGTAGCAGCTGCCATATGGGGCGATCTGCAGAGAAATTGTTGTAAGTATACATACCACTCCTGCACATACAAGCAGACGCCGCACCGCCCCGCACAAGGGCCAGTCGGCTTAAGCCAGGTGTGGCTGAACCCCCTTCGTCATCTCAACCACCGCCGTCGACGGCAGGCCGCCATCAAACCTCCCCCAGCGTCCCGATCCCGCCTTTCCATTATCTTCATCTCTTCTTGCATTCTTGAACTTTCCACTCCGGGTCGAGTTCTTCTGCCACGCTTCCACCGACAACTACATTATCGCCTCTTCTCTTTTTTTACTTTTCAAAGTTGTTCTACCACTTCCGTTCACTATGGCCACCAGAGCCGCAGCAGGCGCCCGTCCCGGTGCCAGATTCGCTCAGTTTAAGCTGGTGTTGCTTGGTTAGCTTCCCCCTGACTATAACTCCACTCAAATACGTCGGAAAATGAAGACTGACTTATGATTTATGTTTGGAACAGGAGAAAGTGCCGTTGGAAAGGTGAATAAGTTGTTGAATTCATTGTTCGGGCCGTCGCTGATGTTCTCATTACTTGGCAGAGTTCGCTAGTCCTCAGATTTGTTAAGGTTGGTTTACAGCCAGAGGGCTTTTTCTTGGACCCCAGGGGCGGAGCTCATATGGGATAGGATCAATTCGATGATTACCGCGAGTCGACTATTGGCGCCGCCTTTCTCACACAGACAATCTCCCTGGACGAAAGCACGACAGTCAAGTTCGAAATATGGGACACCGCCGGTCAGGAGAGATATAAGTCCTTGGCTCCCATGTACTACCGGAACGCGAACTGCGCTGTTGTTGTGTACGACATTACTCAAGCGGTACGGCCTCTATGTGCTCTCAGACCAGCATGATCGCGCGGAAATGCTAATGTGGATATGATGGAACAGTCGTCGTTGGATAAGGCCAAGTCATGGGTGAAGGAACTACAGAGGCAAGCGAACGAAAACATCGTCATCGCTCTTGCAGGCAACAAGCTCGATCTTGTAACAGAGAATCCCGACAAGCGCGCGATCGCGACCGCTGATGCCGAGGCCTATGCACGTGAAGCCGGTCTGCTCTTCTTCGAAACGTCGGCCAAGACGTCATCTAATGTGCGAGAATTGTTCACCGCTATTGCGAAAAAGCTGCCTCTCGATCAGGCAGGCCCACGGAACCTGCGGGCTGCCCCCCGGCCCGGTGTCGATTTGCGACCAGAAGCCCCTGGCACTCAGGGCGCCGGCGCCTGCAACTGCTAGATATCGCCCTCAACCCTGCCTTTTCAACTCTAGCATTGTGATGCCTTCTCTCTACCCATGGGTGTTTTAGCTTTCGTTGGTTTGGTTTGTCTAGATGCGAAAGACGTGCTTCTCTTGCCTGAGCTTTACCTTTAATTCCGGTGCAAACCCTGACGACTTCAATCGGCAGCTGAGCATGGTCGCTATATGTTTCTCAAGAGATGGTTATCCGGCATCCCTAGCCGAATTTCTGGCGGCCTGGATTTGACACGCAACATCAACCGGTTTCTCGTTGTGGCCCCTAATCCGAGCAGCTATTTTACAGTTCTGTCGCCCACTTCTCAAGGCCTTCCCATTCTCTCGAGGTCTAACCATGCCACTTGTGACAGCCAACTCTGGCCATGTACACGGGTACAATTGGCTCTGGTGAAGCCGACTCCATGTTGCAGGAGATAGCTTAGGGTATTCGGTGTTTCAATTTGTTCCCTCTGTGTTTTCCTATTGCTGGCGTCTGTATCCTTTGTTATGGGTTGAGCTGCTGTTTTCCTTCTCGTTTTCCTTTGTTCATTTACCCTCAGAGTTTCTCAGTATGCTATGCCTATATAATATTTCAATAATCTTCCTTGGTCTTGGGATGACGTATTTGATCCTGAATTGCGCACATGTGGCTCTCTTTACCGGCGCAATGAGAGGTCGAACAAAAATAGTTCGCAATAGCTGTATATTGGTCATATTTTTCTAGACTATGGTAAACTCATTCAGCGGGCACGAAACAGGTATAGTATTCGATTGACGCTGCTCTCATGAACTATACAAGTTGTAATGTCGTGACAGAAGAAGCGGGCGGGCGGTGCGACCAAGGCCGAGCTGACTGAGCCACTATTTGGCGGTGCAGGATCGGAGCGGATCGTAAAAGCACCTACTAATCCCAGTTCCAGTTCCGGTCCGCGTTTTCACCTTCGTCAACATCAACCCCTCAACTTCTCTCGCTCCCAGCGCTTTCCTTCACAGTAGTGCGGCCCACGATGCTGCGCTCTTCTGTTGCCACGGGACGCCAGGTGCTACTGTCCTCCGCTCGCCAAAGGACGGCCGCGCAATGGCTGTCCAGAGCTGGAGCAAGCAACCGGTTCTCGAATCAGGTACGGTGACGGCATCCTCAATTTGCGGATCATCAATGGCAGATTGGTCACTAATATGTCCTTCACTCTCACTAGAGATTCTTTGCCGATGCTAGACCCCCTACTACCGGTGCTCCCACTCCTGTTACCCCGTCCTCCGCGTCGCCTGTGCCCCCGGAGGTTGTCGTTCCTAAGCCGGAGCCTACCGAGCAGGGTACTGTTGCCATCATCACTCGAATACACAGCAAGAACTGCAGACTGATCCGATTACAGGCTCCGAAGTCCCTCCCGTCGTGCCCACTCCAGCTCCCAAGAAGGGTGGACGTTTCCGCCGATTCTTTCTCTACCTGCTTCTGACTTCAGGCTTCGCTTACGGTGGTGGCATCTTCCTGGCTCTCAAATTCGACAACTTCCATGACTTCTTCACCGAATATATCCCCTATGGTGAAGAGAGTGTCCTATACTTTGAAGAACGAGACTTCTACCGCCGATTCCCCAACACCCTGAAGAGCCAGGTCCGGTTCCCTACTCGTCGGGATGAGAGCAACCAGATCACGATCCCTAGCAAGAGCGGATTGACCTCGAAGGTTGCCGAGGAGGAGTCAGCTGAGAAGGGCCCCCACATGAGCTCCGCTCAGAAGGACAAGGGCAGCGAAGCGCAAGTCAAGCCTGCCGCTGCCAAGCCCGAGGAGAAGTCCGCCGCGGTCGAGAAGGCCAAGGAGACGAAGGCCGCTAAGGAAGAGGCGCCTAAGCCGGTCGAGAAGGAGGAATCCAGACAACCTGCTTTGCCCGCAGTGACCCCTCTCGAGTTCGCCAAGGTCAACGAGGGAGATGAGGCCATTGTCCAAGAATTGGTGAAGACTTTCAATGATATCATCACCGTGATCAGTGCCGACGAGAGTGCCCCGAAGTTCTCCAAGCCTGTTGAGAAGGCCAAGGAGGAGCTGCAGAAGATCGGCGATAAGATTATCGCTGTCCGGGAAGAGGCGCGCCGTGCTGCCCAGGAGGAGATCAACCAGGCCCACGCTACCTTCGACGAATCCGCGCGCGAGCTCATCCGTCGCTTTGAGGAAGCCCGTGCCACCGACGCTGCTCAGTATCGCGAAGAATTCGAGGCCGAGCGTGAGAAGCTTGCTCGCGCTTACCAGGAGAAGATCCGCACGGAGCTGCAGAGAGCCCAGGAGCTGGCTGAGCAGCGTCTTAAGAACGAGCTGGTCGAGCAAGCCATTGAGCTTAACCGCAAGTACCTACATGAAGTGAAGGACCTGGTCGAGCGTGAGCGCGAAGGTCGCCTCAGCAAGCTCAATGAGTTGACTGCCAATGTCAGCGAGCTGGAGCAGCTCACCACCGGCTGGAGAGAGGTCATTGACACCAACCTCAAGACCCAGCAATTGCAGGTTGCTGTTGACGCTGTCCGCTCGGTCCTTGAGCGCTCTGTGGTTCCTCGCCCGTTCGTGCGCGAGCTTGTTGCCGTGAAGGAGTTGGCCGCTGAAGACCCCGTGGTTGATGCGGCTATCGCCTCGATCAACCCTACCGCCTATCAGCGTGGTATTCCCTCCACATCTCAGATCATCGAGCGCTTCCGTCGGGTAGCCGATGAGGTCCGTAAGGCAAGCCTCTTGCCCGAGGATGCGGGTATTGCCAGCCATGCTGCCAGTTTCGTTCTGAGCAAGGTCATGTTCAAGAAGGATGCCGTTGCTGGCAGCGATGATGTTGAAAGTGTTCTCTGCCGGACCGAGAGCCTTCTGGAAGAGGGCAACCTTGATGGTGCCGCCCGTGAGATGAACAGTCTCAAGGGCTGGGCCAAGATTCTGAGCAAGGATTGGCTGGGTGAAGTGCGCCGAGTGTTGGAAGTGAAGCAAGCCCTAGAGGTAAGACTAACCCTGATGGCTATGATATCTTGTTCCCTTTTGCAGTTCAGGCTAACACATCTTGTTCTTACAGGTCATCGAGACTGAAGCGCGTCTACAGTGCCTGAGGGTCGAGTAAACCAATACCCTCAGCGTTTGTTTAGTTTTCTTGTATCTCATGCCTCTTCTTCTTCCTCATCCTACAGGAATTGTACCTCTAGTTCCCACGTGCGTTGTTAGACTCAATGCTAGATGTTCCTTTGTATGACAAACCGGTGAGACTGTGCAGTTATGTAGTTATATATCATTAAAAATGATAACAAGGTCATTTGGTACTATTGACTTCTATTCCGCCGGCAGTGGTTGTTTGCCATGTTTGCAGCTCCACGTGCTCCGCCGCATTATGCAGTTGGGGGGGATTGAAGTGTACTTACTGTACGACACGACTAACGTTGTCTCGACAGCACAGACCGACGAACGTGCACCTATTCGTGTTGCCCCTAGTGTCTTGCCTGTGCTCTACAGTGCCATGTTCAACTTTTAGCACGTTGCTTGGGCATCTCCATGTCCTCTTCACCCTGTGAGCCGACCCCCCTATTTACTCCGGCGGGACGGACCACCAATTCGTCACCCTGGTTCTAATGTCGCCCAAGACCAATGAACCGCCCACCGCATCCCTTCCCACTCCTGGCCCGAATGACACGTTGTCAGAAACTCGTCAACCTTCGAGCAATCCTCATGACGCAACCTTTCGACTAAGAGAGCCGCAGATGAACGAGGGACGGGCGAGCGGGGAGCTGGAGGGGAGCACGCTAGGCAGTAGCTCTCGCGATGGAGATAAGACAAGTCGAGGAGCCCAGCGCCGGACACATGGCTCCGGTGGATTCTTTGTCGACTCATCCTTCCTACCCGGCTCCAAGAGCTTGAAGAGCAGCCAACACCAATTCCTCCGCCGTTCGGAATCAAATCGGAAAGAGAAACGGGAGGCTCCTGAGCCGGGTCCGGAGGTGTCAAAGAAACGATCGCGATTTCCGTGGAGTCGTCAGAAGGAACAGAAGCTGGGCTCAACTGCGGCTCAAACGGCTGAAGGTGAGGCTACTGCTTCTTCTTCGCATGTGGCGGACGATGATGCGGCACAACACCAGGAGCAAGCAGAAACGGGGACGCCGGACAACCAGGCTGCCATGGGCCTGGACAGGGATTCCTTACAGATCGTCAATCTCGCGCTGAATCTGAGCGAGTCGCGGAAACGGAACAGTCTAGGACGTTCGGCTTCCAACCGCTTTCCGGGCAATCGGAGGATGGTGTCCGTCGGTCAGCCTGCTGCTCCTTACCCTGACATTCAACCCATGGCTTCTGTGGGCGGCCTTCGCCACAGCAGCCCCCGGCATCGCGATGCAGTGCACAAGTGGAGCGATCGCTACAGCAAGCCCACCATTCCTGAAAGGGTGGCGGGATTTCCGGCACATACCCCATCCTCGGTGCTCAGTCTCCTGCCTCAGTCGATCGATTCGGAAACTTTGCCTTCTGGGATCTCGGAGAGCACTCTTATCCGGGCTGAGAAGGCCCGGCGTCATTTTGAGCTGCTCTCCGAATACCTACGACTTCTGTCGTCGCTTCCGCCTCTAGAGCATCTCGACCCGTCCGCTACAGACTCGGTATCAGTTGCGAGTAAAAGCGAGCTCTCCGCCAGAAGATACAATCCTCTCCAATGTATCCGTAACCGGAAAGTAAGGTTTCGCGAACGATGCAGTATTGATACTGAAGCCGAGGGATGGTATGACACCGAACGGGTACATGAATGGGTTGACTCGGTGGAGTCGTTGTACAGCCATCGCAATCACAGCGCGGCGGAACGTCTACAACTTCCCTCGTTTCCAAAATCAAGAAAATATGTGGCTTCGGAACATCAGCTGGATATCGATCATCTTGCTGCCTCTCCTCCTTCGAGCCTGAGGCGCGCTAGCCGTACTAGCAGTGTCAAAGCCCGCAGGCCGCGATCAGATTGGGTCATTGATCCGGCAGAAATGCTTTCCGATGCTGCGTGGGTTGAAGATGATCACAACAAGAGTAAATTAGTCGACAAGGACGGAAACCTCCTTTATCCAAACCCGAATATACTGATCGATGTCGGTATGGATGATGCCAATCTCAGCTTGGAGGAGAAACTGCAACGTCATCGAGAGTCCATGGACTCGGAGCATTACATTTCCCGTGCATCTCTATCCGACGCTCATCATAGTCTGACAAGCGGTACACGTGGAAGGCAACGGCACAGGTTTCGGACTTCCGGCCGTAGCACACATGATAGCGATGTCTCCGTCAAAGATTTGGAGCCCGGAAGTCGCAAGCTTGGCTTTTTTAGTAGCTCTGCGAGCACGTCCAGCGCGGATGACCGGCTACACCGTTACATGCACGCTGACAGGACAATTTCTCCTGGAAAGTATAACCCGCCAACGCTGGGTGCATTCCAAACCAGGGGCTCTGGGGCGATTTCTGAAGATGACAGTCTCACAGGGGTCAGGTATACCCCGAGCCATGGCCCACTTCCCCGCCATAGGACTGGAGGCCGCGCCAGATCAGAAGGGAAGCGAAGCTCTATGTCCTCTGTGCCGAGCATCGATGATCGTTACGATCCTTTGACGAACATGGCAACTCTCGATACTAAGTCCTCTGGTGTTCATTCCCAGTTAGGGTTCTTTCCTAGTATTGCGAGCAATCTATCTCCCACATCAAGCCGGTCTCCATCACCGTCTAAGGGACGGTTTGCGCGGGCCCGTGGCTCGCGTCACGAGCGCAGCAAGAGCAACATTCGCACAAAGGACAACGCCGACGAAAATGTGCCAGACACGGACGGTGTGCGTCAAGATAGCTTGTCCGAAGCCGCGGGTCGCATTGGTTTGGAACCCAGTCCCCTTACCCACCAGACCACGTCATCCACGTACCAGGATGAGATTTTTAAGCCTCAATCTCCGATGCGGAAGGACACCTCTCAGACAGAGTCAAGGCTACGCGGCATTCTCAAAGGGCCTGGAAAGATAGCCGAAAAAGTAGGCAATGAGATGTCGAAAGTCGGCGATCGTATTATGAAGAAAGACTCGATGGCGATGGCACGCAAGACCTCGCATTCTAGCCTAAGCAGTTCGGACTCCGATGATGCTGATGAGGCTGAGGAGATAAAAGGCGACAAAACGTCAGGCACCAAATCTCTTCTACGTCGGTTGCCTGCGTTTGCCGATGATGGCACTCGGCCTTCGCGCAAGAATCTGGAAAGAGTCGGTACACACAACGAGGCATTGCTGTCGCATCTATTGTCACCTGCTGGACAGGAACAGTTCACTCAACTTCAAAGCTCTGATTCTACTGATCTGCCGGGTCACACTACGGACACTAATATATACCACAACATGGACGGCTCTCAGAGGGACGTTGGGAGTTTCTCTGCTTCCCTTTCAAGCAATACAAATGTTCACGCACCACCCACGCGCCTTGAGAAACTGTTCGGTCCCGAAATACATACAATCCGGGAACAAATCCAAAAAGGCAGGATCAAAGATCAATCTGTACCTTTCAGTCTCACCCGGCCACCTATGACGGGTCTTGCGCAGGCCAAGGTGGAAGCCTCCCCAGCGTCGCAAAACAGGCGCCCTGTGTTAGATGCCCAGTCCAGAAGTTGGAGTATTTCCAATCGCAGTCTCTCCACTGCGCTTGTCAGTGGTATCCCTGGAAAACGCGAGGTTGAACGAACTCGAGCGCTTCTCCTCACCTCGGGAATTAAGGCTCGGGAGATCACCCGCCGGGCCGGCACCGTGCGCGAACCACCTCCTGAGTTCCTTCTGCGCACATATGGTGATGCCTCCGTACCCGTGCCACGGGTGACTCGACTCTGCGAGTATGATGCCGCGGCGCAGGGACTACTCAAGAGGTTCGAAGAGACCAACCGTGCTTTCCGACATGCCATGGACAACTTTTCGGGCTCAGTGTCATCGCCGCTGAATGCTCAGCTGAGCAGACTCGAGAAGATAGTCAATGAGAGCATCAGCCCTCGCGTTCAGGCAGCGACTCAAGATGCCGAAGACCTGAGCATTCAGCTCAACACCACAAGCACCCTCGCGGTAAAGCAATTGAGCGATACCCTCGATAAAGGCATGCGCAGGCGTCATCGCAGGTTGCGCTGGGTCCGACGTACAGGGTTTGTCATGCTTGAATGGGCGCTCGTTGGTATGCTGTGGTGGGTCTGGCTCATCGTCATGGCTTTCAAAGTGCTTCGCGGCGTTTTTCGAGGATTTCTCTCGGGCGTTCGATGGATTCTGTGGCTGTAATTACAGGCAGAAATGGACTGACTCGGGTCAGTCAATGTCCAGGCCGTTTTCTTCGGTTTCGTACTTTCCATTTCTTAGTACTATACATTTTTAATTTCGAGTATCTAGATAATAATGATGTCTTGTGACCCTTTTTGTGATCTGTGTTGAACAGTGAAACCAAGAGATGGTGATAACAAGCACCTAGCCTATAACTAAGAAAGAGGAACAAGTGGAAATTGGGTAAAGTGACATGGCACGTTCATCCATGTACTGTCGACCACGGTACCTCACTGCCCGCTTGTCGGTACTATCCTTTCATCACAGACGGAAACTCCCGCACAAAAGCTTTGTTTTCTTGTCACCCTGAGGGTAGAAAGCTTACAGGAGATTTTCGACCGACCCTTTATTCCGCCATGACTCAAACCAGCATCAATTCTCAGGTACGCCGTACTAATAAGATATATATGCTGCGTTTGATCCCTCCCGCGCCCCCCCCTCGTCGCTGTTTCATCTTTTCCCAGAACACTACATGCTTGGTACTCCACACACACGCGCGATCTAACTCCAGTCTACAAGGTATATTATCCGATATACTACTACAGTTCCAGATCGACACCTCACACCAAATTCAACCCAAAAAACACACAGTATCTCACACCCCCCCCACAATAACTGCTATTCGTCATTCACAATGCCATTGCTGAAAGGCATATTGCATGGTCGCAAAATCACCACTGACTCAGGTCAGCAGCAGGACGGTGGCGGCGGGGGTCTTCGCCGCTCCAACGCAGTCAAGCACCACGGCCAGCAGCAGCAACAGCAAGCGTCCGCGGGAGGCTTCGACTTTCCCAGGCGGGAAGCAGTCCGTACCAACACATCTCCGGGCCCTGGGTCTGGCGGCCAGGCCCCGATGGTGGCTCATGCGCGGGCACGAGCAACTACCTCTGCGGCCGCGCAGTCAGGTTCCGAGTGGAGCTATGTTCCGGCCAATGTCCAGATTCGACAGCACCACGGCCATGGCCACAGCCCGGGGCAGCGAGAGCAGCTGGAGCGGCGACAAGAGCTAGAAGATGTACATTCCCAGCGGACGCAGCGGTGGGTGGCCGACCAGCAGAAGCGCATGATGCTGACGCCGCCGGTGACGCGAAAGCCACTGCCTCCTCAGCCACCGCAGTCTCAGTCTCTACCACGACCAGGAGGAAGACCACAAATGCAGCAGAAGCCGCCGCAGCAACAGCCGCAGCCCACTATTCCCAGCAGCGGAAGCCGACGACCGTTCTTCAAGAACGATGCCGAGTTGGATGACTGTGTGCGCAGCACCTCTCCTCCCTATGAGGATGGGATCCTGAACCACGGGGACTGGAAAACCGGTAAGTCCGTCCATACCGTGCAGGCCAGGCGGCCGGTCCACGTCGTCACCCCCAGCCTGTGCCCTGTCTCCCGAGTAGCGTCGCCGGTGGATGAGATCTCCGATCAGAGAGAGGCGGCTCGTAGGGCTTTGCGGCGGAGGAACTTGCCTGGTAGGTGAATTAGGTCAGTTGGTGGGGTTGTTTGGAATGGGCTACGTGCTGGTCTCGTAGCTTGCCTTGTGGTTCTTTGATTTCATGCATTGCGGGTGGACTGGGCTCCTATGTCAACATTAGCATCATTGGGTTTTCTCTGCTGTGTACGATGAAAGAGATTGAGCATGGCTCGTCAATAGACTTTTCTGATACGGTGTCAATCCAATGTGGTTGATATTTCTTTTGTCCTTTCATTCTTCTTGCCCTTGTTTCATGAGACTTTGTAGTACAATTTCTGTTAGATGGAGAAAGACTCCGCAGGGGAGACATTCCAAAACTGCTGATTACTTCTAAGTAAAGATGTATAGAGTCTATGAATATAATAGGTGTTGTATTATCAGCAGCACAAAGTAAGTCCGAATAAAGATGCACCTCAATGAGCAGCCAAAATCATTCTTTGGCTCTCAATAAACATTGGAAACCAGTGTTGTTGTTGGAGGTTGAAAGAAAGAGCGATCACGTGCCGCATACAGCCCGGGACCCTGCCTTCACCGCCCAAACAAGCTCAGGAACGACCGACAGAATGACCTCAGGCGGTCAGAGCGGGTTAACCCAATTAGGAACCTCAGAAATACATGTGTAAGACTGCCATGGAAGCGATTATCCATGCTTTACATGGACGGCGGCTGCTGCTGCTGCGAGACTATCTACATCTGTTACAGTACGTGTTGACCGATTTTCCGTTTCAGATAAGGTTAGGACAAAGAATGCAATCATCCAAGAAACCGTCATCTCGCAATGGATTTTGGGGGAGGGAGGAAGGAGAGAAGAAATTCAATGGCCTCCGGGCTTATCCATCCCTCCCCACCCTCTCGTGTCCGGGCCCAGAACGCCGATCAGGAACCTGTCTGCCAGGCGAGCGATTTTTTTGGTGACCCGCATGACGCAACGCAATGTGGCTGGGATGCTGTCGTCTGTCTAGTCAACGCAACGCAACCCGCCGTCGGCATTCATAGAACAAAAAAAAATCTCTCAATGACTGACTCAAACTTTAGGAGGCGGTTAATCCCCTCCTGTCTGGTCTTTTGTCAGGGGACAATTTTTTTCGTGTTGGATGGATGGACTAGAATTTGGGTTGCATGGGTCATGAGGGATAATTCGACATGCCACCAGATCGAATCATCTGGCGGAACTGGATGGGAGATCTCGATCCGAGGTCCATGGTACCAAGAGTTCTTCAGTAGTCAAAACAACGGAGGCGAACGGGAATCAACTACTGCAGTGGCACAGTGGGTGCCAGGCAGTGTGAGAAGACGAGACGAGACGAAGACCACGTCAACCATGTCTGCATGCCTGCTGTTTTCGCCCGGCCTTGAGTTTCTGCAAGATGCAACGGCGGGTCGGGGATTGAGGGAAGAACTCGAGGACTCGATCATGATTGGAATTTTGGGATGCTCATATTTGTAGTTATGGAGAGGCGAGAGGCAGGGTAATCGTACTGTGTCGAGGGAGGCAGATAAGCTTGGAGTACTTGATTTTGGGTGGAAGAAAAGAGAAGAGAGGCTGCAAGGCTGCAAGTCGCGCATGTCAGTCACAATACCGTCACAGACTCATCGACTCTATTTTCCGTTAACTAACAAGGAATAAGTTAACCCCACTACGTCCTATTACGGCTACGGAGCACTGGCTACCGCTTTCCCTCTCCTCTCCCTCTCCATTTTCCCCCCTCCCCCTTCTTTACTTCCCTCCTTGTGTTCGTTCCTCTCACCACACCACATCCCCATTCCATCCAGGTGAGTTTCTCTCCTTACGCTATCTTGTTCCTTGCTGCCTATACACCACCCCCTACATCCATGATTTTCAGGTCATCTGTCATCTTCCTGTCAGATCAAGGAATCAGCATCATTCCCCCACCCCCCGGTGTCTGCCTGACGCCGTGCCCTTTGCCCTAAATTTCCCCCCTCCACCGGAAAAGTGTCGTTAAAATTTTGCACGCACCTCTTGTCTCCTCCCCCTCCCCCCTCAGCACCCTCCCCCTCGGTCTACCCCCCACGACCCAGGAATCAAATCTCGCATCCCTTTTATCTTGATATCCGAGTTCTCGTTGCCCATTTCTTTTCCCGCTCTCTTTCAATCCCGCCGCTAACAGTTAGACTGCTCGGGTCAGATCGTCTCTTATTTCTCGGAACTAGAAAAAACCCTGTTTTTTCTCTTTCCCTCTTCACCTCACTCTTCCTCAATCGCATTTTCAAGGCCTTTGGAATCCACCAGTTCCAAAGGCAACTCAGGGCACCACGGCTTACACAGCCTCGCTTTCTCTTCGTCAAATTGTATCGCATAGACGTCAACGCGACACTCTTAATAACATTCCCCCTCCTTCTGGTCTCGATCTCCGTCCCTCCGTCCGGTGCGCCATTTTTTCATAAATTGACGCCCTCACAATTCACACCTTCGCCTTTTGAGCTGCCGCATAGGACTTCTCTGAAGGTTCTTCCTCTCAAGGAGGAAGGGTCTAGGAGGCTTGGTCCAGTCAACCTCGGTTGCGAAACTTTTCGTCCTCCCTAACACGCAGTCGCGTTCAAACAAACTTTTTTTCACTTCCTTTTTTATATCTTTATCTAAAGACCTATTCCGTGCTTCGTCGCAGCGCGCATGGTTATGGCACCGACTGCTTGTTTGCCAGCTGAAATATGCACCACTATCAAACATATTCCCGACAAAAACGACTATAATCTCAATTGGGATCATGGTCAATTCAGCTATCATGGAGAGGACGATCAGCCGCAGTCTAGGTTGGCTGCCAAGGAGCTTATCCTGGACGTCCTGAAGAAGCGTGCGTCTGAGGTGGACGTGGACGCGTGCGCCCCGGGCGCCGAAGATGCCTTTTATGTGGCAGATATGGGCGAGATTTACCGCCAGCACCTGCGCTGGAAACTGAACCTGAGCCGTGTCCGGCCCTTCTACGGTAAGTTCGATTCGATTGAAGTTGGACGACTACAGAGGAAGACAGCGACTGATGTCGATATTCATTAGCCGTCAAGTGCAACCCGGACCCTGAAATCCTCCGCCTCATGGCCAAGCTCGGCAACGGTTTCGACTGTGCCTCTAAGGCGGAAATTGACCTGGCTCTTGAGACTGGTATCGATCCGAGCCGCATTATCTACGCGCAGCCTTGCAAGACCAAGTCGTACCTGCGCTATGCAGCCAAGATGGGGGTGAAGCAGATGACCTTCGACAATGCCGATGAACTGTACAAGATCAAGTCATGCTACCCTGACGCAGAGCTATACTTGCGCATCCTTACGGATGATTCTTCCAGCATGTGCCAGTTTAGTATGAAGTTTGGAGCATCGATGGATGTCGCTCGTCACCTGCTGGAGGTTGCGTACCAGCTCGAGCTGAAGGTTGTCGGTGTGAGCTTCCACGTCGGCTCTGGCGCTGAAGACCCCAAAGCCTTCCTAAAGGCCGTGCAGGACGCGCGACTGGTCTTCGATCAAGCCGCTGAAGTAGGCCACGAGCTTCACACTCTCGATGTTGGTGGAGGTTTCAGCCAGGATACCTTCGAAAAGTTCGCTGGCGTTCTTAGTGACGCTCTGGAAGTCTACTTCCCGCCGAACATCCGTGTCATTGCCGAGCCCGGCCGCTACTACGTTGCCAGCGCCTTCACCTTGGCTGCCAATGTGATTGCTCGTCGTGACGTGCGGGACCCCGAGAACCCGACGCAAGATGCGTACATGCTGTATCTCAATGACGGGGTGTATGGAAACTTTTCCAACATCATCTTTGACCATCAGCACCCTGTGGCTCAGGTCTTGACCTGCGACCCTGATGTCAATCCTCCGAATGCTGCGACTTCGGAGGGCATCGCCTACTCTATCTGGGGGCCGACCTGCGATGGCATCGATGTCATCAGCAAGCGCATCAACCTTCCGGCCCTCCTGAACGTAGGTGATTGGCTGTACTTTGAGGATATGGGAGCCTACACCAAGTGTAGCGCGACCCGCTTCAATGGTTTCTCGGACAACCACGAGGTGATCTATATCTCCAGCGAGGCTGGAGCTTCTGCTCTCCTCGAGTACTAGGTGTTTTTATCTCTGTCTCTGATCATTGCGTTTTCTTGGATTGAATGCACACTTGTCTTTGTCTTTTATCAAGCAACCGGGGCTGCTTTCGCAGCGCGCTTGTCTTGATTATAACTTATCCATGTTTTTCTTTAATAGAGTAGATGCAAGGGGGACTCCTGGGGGGAGCTTGAACTTTAGCAGAAGTCTGTATTTAATGTTTTTCCCCGGTGTGTGTTCAAACACAGCCATGTGGAAGGTTCGCACCTGCTCGTTCGATTGATTATATTTCGTTCATTACTGCTATGCTTCTGGCCCTTCCTTTCCAACCTCTAGAAGTCGTCTATCATTCTTCTGGGAATCAAGTCTAACTATCATAGAACCGAACGCTTCCGCCGCAACCCTTCAGTCGTTTCGTCCTCCGTCATAAAAGTCATGTGCCAAATATCTAAATCGAAAAGAAACTGAGATCTAGTTCCAAAACAGTCATCACGCCCAGGAGCCAGCCCCTGCGCGCTGTATATGGTAGGTAAAAGAAGGTAAATAGATTGCATGTCGGAAGCTTTAGAGCAATCGCTCCACAACCAACTCGGCATCGTGGGATCCAGCAACCTGTACAAGGCCCCCGGCTTCGAGCTTCTTCTTCCACTTGGCGGATTCATAGCGAGCCAAAATCAACGTAATCCGGGCTACCACGGCGGGGTCAGCGTTCTCAGCGACGACGTCCGATGGTGTGAAGGTCCAGCGACCGAAAGCCCAGTTCAGAATGTAATAACGGGTGGCGGGGCCGTTGGCCGAAGCGGGAGCGGGCGTGACGGCGGCTTGATCTTCCGAGGATTCCGCGGGAGGCGCGCTGGTCGAACACCGCATGATGCCCTTGATGCGATAGACTTCTTCCTTGGAGGCGGAGCGAAGGAGCTGCTCCAGAGCCGGGATGTCGACGACGGTGGCATCGGTGGACTTGAGGTTGACGGAGAGGACTTCCACCTCGGACTGATGATCGTTCTTGTGCTCATGGTGATCATGGTTGTGATCATGGTCATGGTCATGGTCATCATGACGATGCTCCTCCTTGGCGAACAACGCCCCGTCAATCCCCAGCAGAACATCCTTGTCGACCTTACCGCGATCGGACTTAACCCACGGCGTGGGGACCTCGAGGTCCCCGACCCGGTCGAGGCAAATGTCGAAGCGCATCTCCGACACATTCTCCCACTTGTTGAAGATGATCAGATCCGTGTATTTCGCCTGCAGCTTCGCCGTGTAGGAGGTGTCCTCGTACCCCTCCCAGTTCTCTACGTCGATGACGCTGATGACCCCGTCCAGGACGAAGGTCCCCGGGTTCTCGCGCGCCAGGCGGTTCACCTCCATGGCCAGGGTGGCGGGGAAGGCGCTCCCGCTGGTCTCGATCACGATGCGGTCCGGGCGGACCTCGGTGCGGAGCTGCTCGAGCGCGTCGCTCAGCTGGCCGACGAGGTTGCAGCAGATGCAGCCGTTGAGGAGCTCGCGAACCCCGGAGATGGACTGCGTGGAGGCGAGCTGAGAGTCGACGGCGACGTCGCCGAATTCGTTTTTGAGCAGCGCGAGCCGGTAGGTCGCGGGCAGTTGTGGGATGAGGTTGAGGAGGAGGGTGGTCTTGCCGGAGCCGAGGAAGCCGGTGACGATGGTGATGGGGATTGAAGGCATTTTACTAGGAAGGAATGTAGAGCTCTAGAACAGGTAAGTCTATAAGTGTATAAGTATAAGTGTAATGAGGGGAAAAATAGAGAGAGTGGGTGAGTGGGTGAGTGAGTGAGTGATTGATCGAGTGGAGAAGGCGAAAGAAGATAAGAGAGTGCAGTGCGGATGGTTGATTTCGGACGGCAGAATTCGGCGGTGGCGGAGGGGCTGCGAGGGGGTGGCGCTAGTCTGGATTGGTAGAACCCTAAGTCAACTGGCTTTGACTTAGTAGATGATTCGTTTGTGAGCCCATCTTGGAAGTAATGGATTGGCTACGAGGGGACTGTAGAGGCTGTTTCAATCACGACTTTGTACGATATACTGTATATCAGTGTGCGGAAGAATACGGTGCCGCAGTCTCTTCGGACTTGAAGTGATCGGCCGTGGTAATTCCCAGTTGTTAACATGACCCCTGAAAAAAGGGCTAGGTGGCGTGATGCTCAACGGCTAAGTTAAGTTTCGAGTGATAGTATGCTTTCAAGCTGGCCTTTCGTTTTGCTGTGAAGTGTGAGACATCTGCCAAGTAATCGTAGCGCTTCATGATAGACAAAGCACCATACAACCACCCGCTGCCTGCTCGTATGTAAATCGAGTTCACCTTACAACACAGTAGTAGAAATTATGCCCTTCCAAGCGTCCTGTCAAGAACAATAAGAGAAGTGAACACAAAACCAGCCCGATAATCTCCGCCGTCGAGGCATGGAAATCCCAACCTGATCCACAGGGCTGAAAGTTGACTGCACCAGTGCAGAGTTACCCGGCCAAAGTCCCCCCCCCCCCGATGATATCATCCCCCTCCGTCCCGTTTTAGTTACCCGCTTGATGTCATCTCCAGCCCTACCAGGCTACAGCCGATTTCCGGAAGAATTGGGGGGGGGGATTGTTTGATCTAGACCACACCATGTCAACTTCCTCATTTCCCTCTCTCTTATTTTTATTTCCCACCTTAGCTTGATCCTTAGATTGTACTGTACCTCGACCCTTTGGCTTTGGACTGTGCTAGACCCCGAACAACATTCTTAATTCATCATCCTTCTTCTATTACCTGTTACCTTGACCTTGGGATCTTGGGTTCTTGGGATCTTGTGCTCGAGAATGAAAACCATCGACGACAGCGCCCGCGACCTCGGCTGCGTGCCCCCCCACGAAGAAGACCTCCTCGAACGCCAACGACAAGAGCGAGAACGCGAGCTGCAGCTGTCAGCCCAAACCCAAACCCAAACGCTAGAGCAGCAGCCGCAGCCGCAGCATACCCCCTCCGACCCGACCTCTATCACCTCAACCACGTCCACGACGACAAACACATCCACATCCACGTCCTCGTCCTCGGGAATCCTCCCGCCCCCCGAGAAAATCACCGAGGTGGCCAGTACCTCGATGCAGGAGGTGCGGACGATGCTGAACGCGGCGTACGAGAGCGAGCTGGTCGGGAAGGCGATGCAGCGGGTACGCGAGTATGTGCCTGGGTTAGCCGGGGGTGCGGGGGAGGGGGATGGTGAGTTTTTGGTTCCACGGAAGATATCTGCGCGCGCGTGAGCTGCGTGTTGTCGAGTTGGGCTTGCTGACCCGGTTGCTTTTGGATGGATGAATGCAGGCGAGGAGGACCGAGGCGCCGCCGACCCCGAGGAGATGCGCCAGATCGACGCGCTGGAGAAGGAACGGATCGTGGAGTTTCTGCAGGAAAGGACGCGGACGAAGACGGATCTGGAGAAGAAGTACCAGCGTAAGGAGCAGCCGCCGCCGCGGCAGTAGCCGTGATTGTCACGGGTCCATTGTTTTGCATTCAAGAAGTTAATTGATTGATCGCGCTTAAGCCTGTTTTCTTTGTCTTTGCTGTGTGTTGTGTACAGATCAATGGGATTGTGATGAATATCGACCCCCCGCTTTTACTTCCCATAGTTACTCACAAGCCTCAAGCTGTTCTGCTCGAAAGCTACGGCGACGCTACGCTACGCTACAGCAAAGCCCGCATCCCCGACTCCCCCCGCCGATCCAGCCCCAGGAACTCCGCCACCTGGCCCAGATGATCCACCCCGAAGAACCCCTCCGTCTCGCCCTGCGCATTCGTGCACTCGAACCAGGGCACCCCGAACGCCCCGGCCTGGAAGGCCCGGTCCGTGTTGGCGGTGAGCTGCGCTTTGATCGCGGGCGTTTGCACCTACTCGTTTATCAGCTGTCTTTTTCCTGAGTATTCTCCGGAGGGGAGATAGTCCATGGTCAAGGGGGGAAAAGGAGCTTACAGCCTCAACCACCCGCCCCGCCACCTCCGCCCCCAACACCCGCTCCAAAACCGGCACGAAACACCCCGGCTCCGCGATCCGTCCGTCCCCCTCCACCCAGAACGTCCGGTAGAACGCCTCCTGCACGGCCTCGTACTGCGTCGGGGCGAGCTGCGCGACGGCGGCCAGCGCCCGTTGCGTGTGCAGCGTGCGCGGCGGGAAGCCCGGGGGTGGGGTCGGGATGATCGGCACTGAGAAGTAGGTCGCCCAGCGCGTGCGTTCGCGGTTGATCCAGGCGGATTTATCTGGGTAGCCCACACATGGTTATGTTAGTGGGGGTGCCCTCGGGGGGGGGGGGATGCCATAGATTATGGCGTAGGCGTAGGCGTACGTACTCTTGATCTCCACGGGTGGAGTGTTTCCGCAGGCGTGCATCAGACCACCCAGGAAGATGGGGATGTAGGTTAACTTGCAGTTGGCGAAGATGGGGGAGTTCTAGGTCGTGTGGTTAGTTCGGGGGTGGTTTATAGTTCTTGGGCGATACGTACTCGGAGGACGTGAAAGGCGATATACCCGAAGGGACTGACGGTGTCTATGTAGAGTGTTATGCTGGGGTCGGACATTCTGTGGATCTGACTGGTTGCTTAGGTAGATATTTGAGGGTGGAGAATTGTTTTTATTTCTTTGGGTCTATGGTTGAGATATTCATAGCTATAAGTGTCGGTCGGTCAAAGGCAGGCCGGCAGTCATGCTCTCCTCCGCACGGCTGACTCAGCGCCCGCAAGCCGAGGTTGTTGGTGTTGATTAGTCGTGTTGGGTTGCGGTGCATTCGGGGCATCTGCAGAGCACAAGCATAAGCTCTACAAGCGTTCTCATGAGAATGCATGGGGTCACGTAAGCCCAATCGGGTCAGCGTTTCTAAAATCCCCCATGCATTTCGAAGTCAGCATTATCCGAAATCAGATTCCAAGAAAACACACATGCAAGCAAGCACACCGAGTTATTAGGCCGTTCTTGTCTTCACTATTTTGTGAATGAGTGTATACTCAAATGCTGGAGTATAAGTCAGAGGGCATGCGAGTATGTAAGCCTGAATGCTGGATGAAGCACCCCAAGCACATGTAGGATGGGGGACTCAACAACTCCGGACCATTCGATAAGCAGAAGCAGCAAGCAATTGCAGTCATACTTCTGGGTCGCTCTTGCCGTCCCTCGACGATTGTCAACCATCTCTCCCCATTTCCCAGTCCCTCCATAATGGCTTCCTGGAAGCATAAATCCCATGCATGAATACGAAAACCAAGCCCAGCGAGCGCAAGCAAAGATGCAGGACTCTGAGCGAAGAGCCCCAAGTGTAACACCACCCATCGAACCACTCACAGCAGTGCCCCAAATCTGACTTTGGCATAGCATATATCGACACCCCAGATCCCCTTCAATCCTAGCTCAAGTCGCGAATCGATCATTTCCCCGGCCCGGAAGAGGGCTTCGCATTCGCCGACCCCGAGTCGATATCTGTTGCAGAGCTCGATTCCCTTGGCCAAGCGGAATGGTTGCGCCCGCCTGCAGTCGTGCAGGGACATGCGTTTAGGCCTAGACGAGATATGGTCGATCCAGGAGGGATCCCTGGTTCTGTGCATCAACCCATCCTTTACCATATCCGACCACGTGCAGCCGAGATGGGATGAGCTTGAGCTCGTGGCCGGAGAAATCCTGGTCGTCTGCCGCCTGTATGCCGATTTGTGGGCTCTTTGTGCCAGTGCTTCGTTTCCTTCCGCCGCAAAATCCAACGAGACGGCCAATGCCCAGCCAATGAGCCTTGCATTCGTGCCTCTCTGTGCAGTGACACTTGTAGCGAACTTCTGTGCTTTCAATCGAAGATGCATCGAACATGATCTTCGCGACCCCAGTGCTCCGAGATTTCCAGGAAACGGACTCCCTGTGATGCCGCCTCCTCGTTCGTGCAGCCTCATTGATGGTATGCAGCTGGCTCAGTCTGACCGACTGCATAACCGACTTCCAGAGGTAGTATCCGATACGCTCAACAAGGTGTTGCCGGAGTGCGTCGAAGCTGATTATGTGCCCCTCGACCTTCATGTCGGAGCCCTCCTGTCCAATCTGAACCTTTCCAATCTGAAAGTTAGACGCAATCGCCAGTCACAATGTCTAGGTATACCCGCAGCGGTTGATCCGCAACCGCAACCCACTGAGCCAGATCCAAAACCTGCCTCCTCTGCAAGCCATAGATTCAGGAAACTGCTTGTACTTGCGTGATTCAAGGTCATTCGCATTCGTGGTATCATTTGTGAATGCGATAGAAAGTCTCCATTAGGGAAAGACCCGAGAGAGCTGGTCATGAAAGGTTATGAACACAGCTTCATTCATGCTAGATGTTGTGTTTGCTCCAAATTATTCGACGCCTTGAAATGGGGTTGCTCGCACTGGACTGAAGCACAGTAGTTGACTGGCAGCAACTCAGCAACGAGGACAGGTCGAGCCAGCACTTGGAAGAGTCAGATCTCATATTGTAACTACGTTCACATGGCAGACAAGAATGAATTATTAGAGGTTGACCAGATAGTTCCCCCAAGTGATTCCCATTAATTGAAAGGCCGAGTAAGATGACAGCTCACTGAGACTGTGATCAATAGTCTTCGGTATGATTTTTCATCGAGTCCAGGCCATTGCTTAGAATCCGCAAGTGATTTTTAATTCCCGTAGTATGGAACATCTAGTCCACCAGTTATCAAGTGATTAGGTGTGCTTTTGGTCGTTCAACGGGCGAATGAGCGGTCTTGAGAATCGTCAGGTCGCGAAGCACATGAGAATCAATGATGAGTTAGATCGCCTCACCAATGAAGGCAAGATGCCTTGCGGTTGGATGGCTCGAACAGGAGGCTCGAGAAGTAGCTTCTTAGCCTTTAAGCATCCTTACCTGGAGGTGATTCAACCCTGTGTATAAGTGCCACGGAGGCCAGAGAAAGCAATAGCGACAACGCGTATCGCCGTCAGCCCTGATGCCTTCCCTCTCGCCCAAAGCAATGTAGTTCAATCTGATCCTGTTGATCATGCTCGGATGGAAGCTGCATGTGAGCCAGATGCAGACTGCAGATATTTGCCGACCGCATGAGATCAAAGAAGACGGTTTCACTTTCGTGTCGTCTCTTCAACGCCACCAGGATGACTGCATCCGGCGACATCTGCAGCAAGCGGTTTAGTACCGAGACCAACGCAGGTAAGCTGTCCGCATTGTAGGTACAATCTGAGACAAGGATCAGGTCAATGGAGCCACCGCATAAATCTTCTGGAAGAGGCTCATCCCAGTCCAGAGTTTGGAATTGGAGTGCCGAGGACTTGGCAGGTCGCGCAACCGCAATATTCTTCGTCACAATTTCTTCGACCTCAGGAAGATCGGTGAGCGTGACAGAGCACTCGGGAAGAAGCTCTGCCAGCGCGATTCCTACAATGCCACATCCAGAACCCAGTTCAATGGTGTGAAGCGGGCCGTTGCGCGATCCTCGAAGAAGCGCTTGCAACAGTGGCGCAGAGATCTCTGGGTCTCCAGCAACTATCTTCTGAAGATAGACAACTGACGCTACCGCTGCATCCCTGGGACATATGAGAGTTAGCTGAGAACAATAGCCCCCTTGGATAAAGAGGTGTCTCACCAGATATGCCGGGCGATACTGTTCCCGGTTTCTTCCCAGATTCGGAGGCCGAGCTTGTCATCTGGCCCAAAGCGTCGTTCAACGAGCTTCTCCGCTACTAAAGTCTGTGATCCGCCAAACGGAGCACTCCAGCCTGATACAACTAGCGGACATTCGGACTTTCCAATGAGTGAGTCTGGTAACGGTGCCTGCAGCTTGGCGGAATTGGCAGGGGATACTGCAAGCACGACTGTGTGTTGAGACAGGTTGACGGAAAATGGTCCCAGCGATATTGGTACTTCACGCTTGCCTGCGTTCCATGTTATGGGTTCCTGATACAGGACCTTTCCTGTGCCATGAGCGACCAGGGTCACATGCAAATCCACATCTTGAGTGAGGAAGGCATCGCCGAGATCGGTAGTGATGCAGACCAGCGCGGAGACTGATACAGCACCTTTCTGCTTGGCAAACCTGGGGGTTTTTAGGAATCGAATATAATAAACCATGATCATGAAGAATAATTCCTGAACTGCATCCGAACAGATTGGAGATGCCCATCCCGAACAGGAAGGCGACCCGTGACCCGTGACCGTACGGCACGTGCTTGGACCTTTGGTGCTGACTAAGGAGCGGGAACGATGACATCGGCGTCTTCATTTCTTCCTCAGGCTGCCATTCCTATCCATTTCCCATGGGTCGGCTGGTTGGTTGCTTTGGTTATTCGTTGTGTCTTTCTCTGATCTCTGATCTCTGATCTCTGAGAGCTCATCTCTCTTTCCACCAATGCGGTCTCTACCTATCAACCGACTGCCGACTTCACTGTTTCAGTCTCTCCCCCATCATCGTCGCGCGGACTTGATGGGGCCAGTTGGTTGATTGAAAGTGATCTGAGCCTTATCATTATTTACCCCTCGGCTGTGGCATGACAACAATTAGTTCAAGACGTTAAGCCAGCAACCGTTGTCCCTTACCTAGTATCTCCCACGCCCTACCCAAACCCGCCCCCGGTTTAACACCATGATGCGATCAAAGGACCCTCGAGTCCGCCAGAGGATAAATCAAATCTCCCACAACCTTGAATCCGCAAACGAGACCGCCCAGGAGGGCCTCTACACCTTCTCTCACAACTATATCCTGCCATGTTTCACGGCCATCGGCAACTGCGTCTACAGCTGCACGGCACCCTGTCTTCCGACCCGGGAGGACCAGCTGCGTCGACGCCGACGCGGCCGCGCGGAAGCTAACTTTGACTTCTATGACGATTGGGACAACGAGGACTCAAATGCTGGGCTGTTGGGATGGGGCACCGATGAACTCGACCGCCTGCTGGCTGGCAGTGGTTTGGCCCGTGGCGGTGCCGAGCAGCCTCGCCGGCAGAGACGGATGAGCTACGGGACGCGGCGTGTCCGTCGAAAGAGCACGGCTCTGGCCCAAGATGAACGGAATGACCCAACCGTCATCCCCAGCTCCTCGTTCCTGGGATTCCTCGAGCGGTTCCCCTGGCGCTTCGGGGCGCGCGGACTGAAATACCGTCCCTCGGCGGCGGATCTGCAGGAACATCCTGCGGGGGAACTGCGGAGGCACGTCTACGAGGATGAGCCGCTCATGGAGGCCGCCGAGGATTACGATGCCCAGCCGTCCGGGAGCAAAGGCCGGTATCGGAGTTCGACCCAGTCGTCGCGGGAGACCACGAACTCGCTGAGTTCGCGCGGGGATTTGATTCCCAGCGATGACGAAGAGGATGCTGTGCCGTTGGATGATGAGTTCGCCATGGCTTTGGGCAGCCGTCGAGGAACGGGATTGGACTCGATCGACATGATCGGGGATAAGCCGGCGAGCATGCGGTCCGCGTCCGGAACGTTTAGTCTGGGGACCACCAGTTCGTCCAAGGCCTCCAAGAAGAAGCAGAAGAACCAGCGGAGCAGCCGGCTTCGTTCCCCGCAGGAGTCCTACGTAGATATCACCCGTGATGATAGCACGCCTTCATTAGCCGATCTCAAGAAGGAGGAGGAGCAGGCGGCGTATGAAGAAGAATCGGAGATTGCACGGAAACGGCTGGCCGCACAGCAGTTGGCATCGAACCGTGGTCTTGATCATCAGGTTAGTCGTTGGCAGTTGCTGCCTTGCGCGGTCTTCAGACTTATGCTCTAACTCCATTTCACTAGCTTTCTCCATCGGCGAATCATGGCACGTCAGCAGATGTAACCCACCAAGACACTCACCAGTCCACGCCTGGGTCACCAGCAGAAGACCCTCCTATACGAGATAATAATGGTCGTTCTGAATCACGGCCACTGTCCATAACAACCGAAGACAATTCACAAACCGAACCATTCCCGCCTTTCCCTACAACACCTGAACCCCACGATACGATGGTTGCATCACCAAATAGCGGCTCCAATGGCCAGAACAATGACCATGATTCAGCATGAGCCACTGACCCCAAACCCCATTGAACATGACTGCTTCAGGGTTGTGCTACTCCCAATGCAAGTCAAAGGACACACTGTCGCCCATCACAGTTTGCGGGTCAAACCTTGGGCACTAGGTTAATAATTCTTTGCCACATACGCAGTTACTCAAGATTATCTATAGTATTAGTGGAATATGTAATATGAGATGACTTACGAGAGAGATTGCGCCTTTCCTTAGGGGACCAGCTGCCTGTGCAGTGCCGTATATGAATCATGTTGTTCTGGTAAAACAATCCCGCTCGTAACCCACAATTTGATGTTCTTTACCATCTTTCGTTTGAATGCACAACCAACTCGCACCATCACAGATGATATCCACCTTCCATAACCCCAACACCAGCACCAGCACCACTCATAGCCAACCCGTGCGGTGAAACGAACTGGTCCGCGCGTTTCTGCATCTGGTCCGCGCCGCTGCCGCCGCCGGCGCCGGGGATATCCTCAAACAACCACGGCGGATTCGCCAGCGACAAGATTTCCTGGTCAAAAATGGCCCAAGAGTATTCCCCGGCCTCGGACTCTGGCGGCGGGAAGCCGACATTCAACGCTACCTCCGGCGGCGTGTGCATCGCTTGCAGATTGGATTCGAGGCGCTCCGCCAGGACGTGGTGGATGCTTGGAATGGACGGATGGCTTGGTTTCAGCTTGGCGATGTGTTTCTCGATCAGGTAGCGGTCTGACTCATAAGCACAGATTGTGGAGATGGATTAGCAACTGTTTTTTTTTTGGTCGAGGGTGTTTTCAGGATGAAACCATGATCAGAAGATTGGATTGGAGAGTTTGTCACGAAAGAAAACGTACCGTCTGGGTGGGACATACCGTCCTCGATGCCGCGGAGAAGTAGCATAGCCGCGAAGGTGATCATCTATGTATGTTATTCGTCTTCGCTCGGATATTTGTTTGGTGTGTCTCATGTGTGTTTTTTGGGGGGAAGGAGGTTGTAAGGGGGACCGTACGATCAAGTCCCAATTCGACCAGATGCTCGAGTCATCCAACCGCAACCGCACCACCGCGCGAGCGGACACCAGCAACTCGTGTCTCTCAGCCGGGGCGATATCCGCTGAAGAACCTAGATCGAAGCCCCGTGCTGGGTGGTAGATCGACAGCACGTAAAGCTTGTGCAGGTGGTATTGGAGGAGGATGAGGATGCCTTGGCGGTTGGAGGGGGTTCGCTCTGGTTTTGGGTAAGCCGGTGGGTAAGTCGATTGCAGCGTTTTGAGTTTTGTCCAGGGACGTGTCTTGATGATAAGGATTAAGGAAGGGGATGGGGGTGTCCACTCACGCGATGTCCTGTTATACCTGATCAGCCAATCGTCCAACTTTCTCGCCCACAGGCGGATGACCCGGGCGTCTTCGTCCGTGAAGGAGGTTCGGATTGAGGATGGATTCTCGGGTTCCCGTGCGCTGCTCACGAAGGACCAGATTGTGGGAAGGCCCCGGCCGACGAAGTGGCTGAGGCCTTGGTGCATCATCTGCGTGAGGCCACGGAAGGCATGCTCTTCATCCTCATTGTTGCTGTGGAAGGAAGTGGGGGCTGCGGTTGGAGGGTGTTCCGGCAGCAAAGGGCAGCACATGTGCATGGACGCGTGCTCGATGTCGATGACCTGGAGGCCGGAGAAGAGGCCGCTCCAGTCCTGACTCGTGCCGGTTTTTGCGGTGGTGGGAAGGGTGTGATCGAGGAAGAGGCGGTAAGCCAGGGCGATCCAGTGTCCGGTAACGGGCACGTAGGCTTCGGAGCTGAGGCTGGCCATGATGAGACCGAGAATGTTCTGGTAGGCCATGGGCTCTGTTGGGGATTGGGTTGTTCGGGGGCTGTTGTCGGGGAGTATATTAGGTGGGAGGACGAGCTCGGCGATGGCGCAGCATTGAGCGACGAAATAGCCCTTGGCAAACTCGCCGAGGTCTTTCGACGGGCCATGCAAGGCAGATATGTAGAGGATGGACGCTAGGAGAAGGGGAGATGGCGATGCGAATGCGCTTTGGTCTTTGAGAAAGTGGAGGAGTGGCAGGTTCTCGACGAAGCTGAGTGGGTGTCAATCGGCTCAACCCTGACACAGAGAGGCATTGATGGCGAACTGCTCACGTACGAGTTCCAGAGGTGTCTGACGATGGGGCGGGTCCAGATCACGTCCTCCTGAGGTGGCCGCGTGATGCTTTTCAGATGTGTGACAGCCTTCCATAGGCGAGGACACCCCGTTCCCTCGCCATCATCTAAGCCTTCACTGATAAGCGGCAACGAGCCTTCTCTTTGGTATATACCTAATCTTCTCTCGATGCGATCTAATCGGCTGAGGATCGACGGCATCTCGGGGCTGGGATCCATCGATGTCTGTAGTAAGGGCCCCAAGTCTCGAGTTGTAGTTGCAGCCTAAGCATTGTAAGCAGAGATTGATATCTACCGGCAGATTCAAAATCAAACAGCCTCACATTTGATCTAGGTCTGAAAATGCAGACAGCATTGGTGTGGCGACATCGACGACATGGCGGCTTGCCGTCAGCCACGCATTTCATCTCGTAGGCAGTTAGCAGCGTTGATGTATGTTTTATTTATGGATGCATAAACCAGTAACTGACCTTCAATCTGCGGCAGTTGACTATCAGAGTGCATTAGTTCACCACTTTGGCTCGGACATGAAAGGCTTAGGCATATGCAACTTGCCGCATGCTTTAGTCGGTTTAGGCCCATGGGCAATAGCGCCAGTCTTTTTCATCGTCGCATTACTTGCTGCTGTGCATGCGCTTTTCAGCTCTGGGGCACGAGAGTGAGGAATTGTAGTCTTATATTGCAGGTAATCCTTCGACAGGATGAAAGTGAACAAGCAAGTGTTGCGCGACACAAAGAAACTAAGAACTAGTACGGAGTAGTCCATCACCACGTGAGCCGGGGCTAATCGATATGACTCGACATTATCATTCATGCTGATAAGTCAGGTAGATACCACCCGTCTATATACGAGGGTCCAATTGTAATACCAATTGTAATACGCCCGTGACCTTCGCCAATGACCGAATTGTGGACAATCCACACATACAAAGTGGCCCTGGCTAAGCTACGCCTGTTCTCACGTTTTTAGTCCGCCTTGCGTAGGCTTCAAGGAAGTCAAGGAGGGTCTGAAAAACGGAAATAAGAAGTGTACCATGAGGCCTAGAGAGACTCGTCAGCCTCAGGTTCACATTCTTGTTGATCTTGCGCGTGCTCCTATAGGAGGACCAACCATCTGCCAACATGGTGTTTCGAGTGGAGATGGGGTAGGTTGTTCTTGAAATGCGCGTTTGTGAGCAGTCGGGGAGAGTGACAACGAAACCAAGACAGCCGAGAGAAGAGTGAGAAGGGTATTATGCCGACAGAATTCTATATACATGATCTTTCGAAGAGGACGGACATCATAAAAATACATTGGAAATATGGTACACATGGCGAACAATGAATCGCCATGATGGAGGTCATGAGGTCAGAGGTGTTGGGGTGTCATGTTTGGCGCAGTCTCAAGGACCTGGTATTTGCAGATTTAAGCAGATGCAGCGGCACCTTCGGCATGCTCGAGTCCCTCCTCTGCTACAGTCATGGAAAGCTTTCGCATATCCCAACCATCGGACTCTATCCAGTCTTTCTTCTCGCCTAGCAGGCAGACAGATCGCTGAGAGCCATCAACCAGGAAGGCCTGTGCTGCCTCGTTAACATCCTTTGCGGTGACATCAAGGACCTGTTCTCTCCAGCGCTGGTCCATTTCGTGGGTCACACCACTCATGAAGTACCTTGCACCTTCCTCGTCGACGCTCATTGGGGCGTCAAGGCCTTGGAAGATACCCAGCTTAGCCTCGTTGAGCTCCCGCTCCGACCAAGCCCGGTCTCGGGCGAAAATTCCGCTGTTTTGGAACACCTTCAGGGTGTTGATGGGGTTGGGATCGCGGTAGCTTGTAAAGGCAAACATTCCCTTGACTGGGCCGTTGCTGGCTCCTGCACCGTAGGCACCACCCTTTTCACGAATCTCCGGATGGAGGTAGTTATGGGTCAGGAGTTGAGAAAGAACACTAAGCTTGGCGCTAGCGGAGTGCACAAATGGAACAGTGTGCATGGCTAGGCCTGAATAGTACACCTTGTATGGCATGTCGAAGAACGTTTTAATCATCTTGGAATCCATCACTGGGGAGTCAAAGGCCGCTGTGGGCGAGCGAACCTGGGGCAAACCCGCGAACCACTTCTGCAACACGGATTCATTCTGACCGGCGCTCTCAGGCTCGCAAACCAGGCGGACACGAAGACCGGACGACCTAGAGATGGCGAAAGCTTGGATTGTGCGGAGCTTCTCGATCAGCTCTGCTAAACGCTCGGGCGACGTTTCCGCGTCCCGCAGGAGGTTGGCTGTTGCCTGCAGTTGTGCGAGACCGGACTGCTGCTCTTGTACCCAGAAACTGCGCGAGAGGTTTGCCGCAGCCGCGTTTAGAGCGAAACGGTGACCCGTTCCTGCAACGGCATCCAGGGCACCATTGGTAGTCATTCGGAGCAACTCTTGAATCATCGCGGGTGCACTGGGACTTGTGAAGTCGGTTTCGGTCACAAGGGTGGTCAGTATCTGCAACATGTCGGGGATATTCTTGTCCAGAGCAGATCCAGAGAATTGAAGACCTTCATTGAATTTTCCAAGCTCCGTTGGGGAAGCTGTGTGGAACGTGGAAGTGGAGATACCTCCGGTCTTCAATTTGATCAAATCTTCCCATTGCTCCATGGACCGATTTGCTGTACCAAGTCGCATGACGCAGTCGTTGAAAAGTGGCATCAGCAATCGAAGGTCATCAGGGAGGCCATCGAATGTGTTCAAAGCCTGGAAATAGGTCAAGCCGTTGGTAGGGGCTTCACGCCAAAGAACATCCACGCCATCAACCTTGGATTCTCGAACGGGCTTGCGTTCCTTCTCGCGCGAGATGTCAGACACCCGAAGGGAAGGCAAGCAGCTCAGGTCAGCGTTCTGTGCCTTTTCTTGAACCTCTAGTAGCTGAAGTTCCTCCGCCTTTAGCTGGGCAATAGCCTTTTCCATGGACCCATGCTGTTTAGCGAGTTGACTGAGCTTTGTATCCTTCCGCACCAATTCCTGCTCGTCAAGCTCCTTGTTGAAGGTGGGTGTGCCAACCATCGTGAATGTCAGACAATTATCATTCATAAGATACTTCTGCATCAACGATTCCAGGTAGCCGCCCTGCGCATACCTCCTCTTGAACTCATCAATCACTTCATTCCAAGCTAGCTCTTTCATAGGATTGGATCCATTGAACCAAGAGGAAATTGTTTTCTCCATGACACCAATGCCGAAGTTTGACGTTTTGTGCCTGAGGGCAAGTTCAAGCTGGTGAAGGATACCTTGGACCTTCTCATCACTGAATCCGGTAGCGAACGATTCCTCAAAGACAGTCTGTATAGCGGTCTTGACCTGAGAAGCCGATTCTTCGCTGACACCAGTCACACCGACGGAAAATACCGGCACGCGGCCGGAAGTATCGAGTCCTGTGTTGGGGCTAAAAGAAGAGCCAAGGCCACTTTCAATCAAAGCCCGATACATAGGTGAGCCATAACCATCCAGGAGCAGAGAAGATACAATCCCGGCCGAGAAAGCCTCAACAACATCAGTTGAATCTCCCATGTACCACGATGTTGATGTCTTGTGTTGCTTGTCTTCACCAGCGAATGTGTCGATGGGGCCTGGAACAGTCACACTCTTAGGACCCTGGCTAAGGTCAATAGGTTGTTTGATAGAAGTATCCGCTTCGCCCTTTTGAAATCCATCCAGAACCTTGCCGATTTGCACGAGATGGTCAGTTAAAGGCATATCACCATATGTGAAAATTTTAGCATTGCTGGGGTGGTATTTGCGCTTGGAGAAGTCGACTAGTTGCTTGTGCGTCAAATCGGTGATGTACTGGGGATCACCACCCGAGTTGTTCAGTGCTGGGATGATGCTCTCTTTATATTTGATATAATAGAGGTAGTTTGCGTCCGAAATTTGTCCCTTCATCTCGTTGTATACGACGCCCTTGAAGAGGATGTCCTCGGGGTTGTGAGTCGTCTGACCTTCGATAGCACGGGGGTCCTCTGGCCCCAACCGCCAACCCTCCTGCCTGAAATCCTCCTCCTTAAGCAGAGGGTGGAAGGTGGCGTCCAGGTACACCGAGAGTAGGTTCCGGAAGTCCTGCTGATTCGTGGTAGCGAAAGGATATGTGGTGTGGTCGGCGGAAGTGAATGCATTCATGAAGTTCGACAGCGAGCGGGGTAGCATCTTGAAGAAAGGGTCGCGGATAGGATATCTGAAGTGTGGTAATATGTGAGCCATCGTTCTAGTGCGACGTGGGCAGTATGCTCACAGCCGTCTGAGTGTACTTACTTCTCGCTACCGCAGAGCGTGGTATGCTCTAGGATATGAGGAACGCCAGTAGCATCCGGGGGATTGGTCTTGAAGCCAATTCCAAACACATTGTTCTTGTCTTCCCTGGCCACGTGGAGGTAGTCCGCGTCGGTCTTATCATGCGTTAATCGGACGGCCGTCAGGTGTAACTCCGGTACATGTTTCTTTTCTTGTACGGTGAAGCCGTGAACCTTGTCTCCAATTCCGGGAAAGTTGTCAATATTTGTCACGGTCGAAGCAGATCTTCTCATCTGACCCCAGCGAAGCAGAGTGCTGCCAGAACCCAGCAGACGTCCGTTGGCCGACTTCGGTAAAATAGGCATGAGGCCTCTGCTCGCCCCAAGAGTTGAGCGCAACATGGTGACTCGTTTCGGAAATTTGATTACGCGCGCAGCGGTTCTTTCACAGAGTACGGGTACGACTGACGTACCCTAGCGAATCCGCAGCAGCTTCTTTGCGCACCGTAGGTTGTCGGTTGCCGTTCACCGGACAGACCGGGCAGCTCGGAGATGAGTGCGAAGATCTGGAACGCGCAACGAATAAACGATTGCACTCTTCTAGACCAAGGGTTGCAGACCAAGAGACTGGAACAAATAAATGCCCCAAAGAAGTAGAAAAGAGGATAAGATTACAGAAAGAGAAAGATAGGAAAGAATTGGAAAAGTGGTTAGAGTGTTTGAAAGTAGCTCCGTCGGCGCGACTCAATTGCTTAGAAAGACAGGCGGGCAGAAAGCGACGGAGCGGTGCCAAGAGAAGTTTTCGAAAGAGGCTAGTGCAGGTCAAGTGCGCATCCCCCCCTCTTACGACTATTCCATCCAATCTTCCCCGGCAAGTTCCTCGAAGAGTGACCCGTTCGTCTGTGTCGACTCTTCTCGCAGTTGATACTCTCGCCCAATACCTTCTGTTTCGTTCCGCCTTAAAGGCATAGGCACGCCTTCGCTGTTGGTTCCCGACGCCTCCCGCGAGTGAGCTTCCGGTTGGCTTTGCAGGACTTGCATTCTAGTCAACCTTCGTGGGTTCCCGTTACCTCCGACTTCTGCAATCATAGGAAGAGGCCACCGAGGTTCTCCACTAGACTCGCCGGGTGGATACGAGTTGCCTTCAATCATAACACCTGCTACCGACTATTGTTCGCTTTGTCGCCGCGAAGAGTTTCCCTTCTTGTCTTGTCCTCGCGGCTATCGGAGGAAGTGACGCATTCGTCCCTGCCATCTCCCGTCAAATCGTTCCAACCTGGCAATTTTCACCGCTGAGAATTGGCCACGCGACCACTCTCAACAGCATCACAACCGCATACCTTTCGAAATATTCTTACGACAAACGGCGAACCATGTCGTCCGCGGCCATGTCCAAGAAAAAGCAGGGGAAGAAGGTTGCAGATCCGAATGAGACCTCGAAGCTGCTGGCCGCCAAAATCTCGCAGCTGGAGCAAGATGCTGCGGGAGAGAAGGACCAAGAGGCCGAGATTGGTGCGTGCACCCACTGATTTCTACGCCTGGTGTATCGATCACGCCATTGAATCTGGCTGGCAAAACGTGAATGAATCTGGTTGCTGATACTCCCACAGAGCGCGAGGTCAAGAAAGCCACGAGAGATCTCAATCAACTCCTCAACAATATCGAATCCCCGATGACGCGGCTCGAGACTGTGCATAAGAAATACACCGAACTTCTGGCCGACATGAAGAAGCTGGATCGCGACTATGCCAAGAGCAAGAAGCGGGCAGATCAACTCCAGAAGGACCAGGACAAGGGCAAATCGGAACTGAATAAGACCGTCACTATGAAGGACAAACTTGAGAAGCTGTGCAGAGAGCTCACAAAAGAAAATAAAAAAGTGAAGGTGGGTAGCTACAACTCGCCAGCATCGCATTCCCGAATCGAACAATGCAGAACCAGGGCTAAGGGAAACCGTGCACGCAATAGGACGAAAACAAGAAGCTCGAAGAAACTGAGAAGAAAGCACGGCTGATTGTCAACGAACGCCTCGACTCGCTTCTGTACGATATTCAAGACGTCATGGCTGCCAAAGGAAATCCCCGCAACGAGAAAGTGGATATCGATTTGGACGAAGCGTGAGTTGTTCTTTCCCAGTCTGCCTATTGAGCTGGTATGTTAAGCTCTTTTCATACCACAGTCTGCGTGCGAAGATCAAAACGATCGGCGAGAAGTTCGAAATGCGTGAACTACACTACAAGGCATTGCTCCGTAGTAAGGACGCGGAGATACAATGTCTTACCGCCAAGTACGAAGAACAACGGCGAGCAGCGGAAAACGAAGCTGCCCGCTGCCGGGCATTGAGTTCTCAGGTGTCAACTTTCTCGCATACTGAGGCAGAGTTGCGCAGCCAGCTCAACATCTACGTCGAGAAGTTCAAACAGGTATGGCTTGATACTTGATGGCTGTTCCAGCCAAGTCTCTATTTTGACCGCTGGTAGTAATAATATGGCAGGTGGAGGATACGCTGAACAACAGCAACGAGCTCTTCCTTACGTTTCGCAAAGAGATGGAAGAAATGTCCAAGAAAACTAAACGCCTAGAAAAGGAAAACCTCACTCTCACGCGCAAGCACGATCAGACGAATCGCAATATACTGGAGATGGCCGAGGAGCGCACAAGAAACCATGAGGAGCTGGAAAAATGGCGGAAGAAAAGCCACCACCTCGAAGCGCTCTGCCGACGAATGCAAGCCCAGGGGCGGGGCCAAGGTCTTGCGGCGGATCTGGAAGGCGATGACGAGGGTACGGAGAGCGAGTACGACGAGGATTACGAAGACGAAGAAGACGATGAGGGAATTAGCGATGACGATTACGAACTGGAAAGCCGGGATGGCGACCTGAACGGAGACCGCAACGTTGCTCAGCAGCCCGAGAAGCCTGTGTTCGGACCCCCTCCGCCACCTAATCTACTGGAAGCGCGAGCCAACGGAAATAAGGCGATGATCAACGGATGTCACTAATACCCTTTTTTCCGCGCAGAAGCTGTTTTCGAATATGGTCTTTTGGGCTTGTTCTTGATATCAAATGGCAAAGGGATTTCCTGGCGGCACTTACGCCACTGCCATCAGTCTGAGGGTGGGTCATGGGCCTGATGAGCTGAAAATGATACATTTACTGAACGCTATGAGTTGACCCGAATAATGTCAATGCTAGCCTCTTCATGTAGGGTGCCATCGCTGCTCGATGCAACACTTGTAGTCGCACCAGGTGTTGCAAAGAGAATCGGTGCTAAGGCTCCTCATCCAAAAACCCATCGAGGCCATTGAATTGCAGTAAGCACTGTCAGAGCCATAGGCCCTTTGCGAGTTGCGATTCTTTGACGTTTTGTTCATTTTTATTTCTGTTCGTGTACTTGTACATGCTAGATCACCAGCATCCGGACGTACTTATTACGTTACCATGAGAAAATACCACACAAAGTCATGTCATGCCAACTACTACAAAGATCCTTTCCACAACCTCATAGTCTACTGGCTGGGCCTTGTATGTAGGAGCTCCCCTTCTTCAGCATCTCGACAGCTTGCTGGACCATCTCTTTCACAATCTCAGCCGCCGGCTTGATACTGGCCACATTGGCTGAAACATCACCCATCAGGAACGGTAAGTCGACATCCTTATCGTTCTTGAGGTCATACTCCATGGGGACAATGCCCTGGGCCGTCAAGCGAGCGATCTCCTCCGGCCGCCTCTCCCAGTCCTTGACGTACTCATTCGGCAAAACCCGCAGCGGCCGCCCCGACACGACGAGAGTCCGCATGGTATCCCCATAGGTGGCGCCCACGACGGCCTCCTTATGCAGCCGACTGGCCCCGCTCTCCTCGGACGCCACGAAGCGCGTCCCGACCCAAACGCCCGCGGCCCCCAGCATCAACGCCGCCGCCAGACTGCGGCCATCGTTCACGCCACCCGCCGCGACCACGAGGGGCGGCTGGCCCGTCAGCCGACTCCGGTACCGCTGCGCGACATCCACGACGGCCGGGATGAGCACCGAGAAGGGGATGTCGCCCGTATGCCCGCCGCCCTCGCCGCCCTGGGCGCACACGATATCCACGCCGCGCGCCAGCGCCTTCTCGGCGTGCTTGGGCGCCCCGACCATGTTCATCACCAGGATGCCGGCGTCGTGCAGTCGCGTGATGACGTGCGCCGGCGGCACCCCCACCGCCGACACGAACAGCTTCGCCCCCTGCGCGATCACCACCTCGATCAGCTCGTCCAGCTGCCCGTGCGTGTAGTCGTGATTCGTGGCGCGCGCCCCGCCGCCCACCTGCGGCAGTGCCAGGTCCACCCCGAACGGCAGCGACGGATCCCGCAGCCGGGATTTCAACTCGGTCAGGATCTCAGAGAGCTGCGATGGCGTGTAGCCCAGCCCCCCGACGGTGCCTAGCCCTCCCGCGTTGGAGACGGCGGCGGCCAGCGGCGCGCTGGAGGCCCGCGCCATCCCTGCCAGGAGGATGGGGTGTTGGATGTTGAGGAGGGTGCACAGCGGCGTTTGGAGGGACATGATTGTTGTTGGGTCTGTGGGTGGTTGGTAGTTGCTGGGTTTTATTTGGTTGTGGTGTTGGTTTTTGTTGGGTGGTGGTGGTGGTGAGTTTGGAGGTATAAAAGTAGTAGTTAGCACTCGCTGCTTGCTGGCCGTGTAACGCGAGATCTAGGAGATTCTCAATGAGTAAGAGTATGACGAGGTGACACTAGACGAAGATTGAGATGGATTGTAGAAGCATTGATGCATGGTTCATGGCCCATGGCGACTTTTCAATGCCCCGGGTTTTATCTGTGAGGTGGGAGTTCCCCAGAACCATCTGATCGACGCTGTGCCTGGACAAATGCGGGGAAGCTCCCGACCGGACCGAGGCACCATCCATCACAGGTTCGCTGCTCGGCATATTTGAGGTTCTTATGCTCTTATGCTCTTATGCGACATGTACGGGGTACTATGTCGCATGTTGCCTTTATGCTTGACCACACCTTGGGCTACTACTGGCTGTATTGGACTAGGAAGCTGCATCATGAAACTAATTCCAGTCTAGAACAGAGATGTCTGACAAGTTATACAATCAAATTAATCCATACTTATTGACAGTGAAATGCGAAGTCTGAGAGACACAGGTCAAAAGATAATAGCAACAGCTTGCGCGCAGCGCATAATGCTCTTGGAACCATTTTTACGAGATGAAAAGACACAAAACAACAGAGAGTACGACAAGATTCGATTCCAATGTCGTACTTCTTCCCGCCATCGCCGTCTGTGTTGCTTGAAGCACGGCCTGATTCTTCGTCGCTGTGCCGACCAAGACTATCACGTTCTTCTCCGAGCTACTCAGATACGATAGGTCAGTGATGCACTTTTCCATAGGATTCAGAATGGCCTCAATATGCAGCACTTACCTTGCATCCCCAATGCCTCCATTCTCGCTCAACTTCTGAGAAAACGCTGTCGCACCGGCCGGGATGGTGGTTGTCGTGGTCGGTCGATGGACAGGCCCTGGGGGAGGCTGATACCCCACCGCACCTAATGGTGCTGTTGCAAGCGAGGCTGGCAGGCTTCTGCGCAGTAGGTTTGATGGTAAACTGTGTAGGAAAGTCCCAGGATAAGCGGAGGTGAGAACGCTGGCGAAGAGGCTGATAGCCACCAAGTTGCGAAGTAGGCAAGTAATCAAGACCAAAACCCTCATCTTTGGAACAGGCAGTGATGACAGATTTGATGTGGGCTAACGTGATGTAAATGATAAAAATCAGAGGGTCATTCTACCATCGGTGAATAATGATCAATAACCCGCGACGCGAAGGAGGGGCATCGAACGCCTATATGTTGGCGATCAAATTCCAGCTTGGGAAGATCAAGCATGCGAGGTATGTTATGTCTGAGATGGCATGGCAAGAGCTCGGTACTTCATTGCTTGGTTGACTATGGGCCGGTCATGTAGAGCTCCTTCCTGGATACCACAGAAAGGTAGTTTGGAGTGGGAACATGGTTCCCAAGACCCCCTAGCCAGAACTACCGTGGGCGACAATGGCAGGGCGAGAGAGAGAGAGAGGGAGAGAGATCGCATCATAAAGTCGGCCTACAGGCGTAAATGAAGCTCTGTTGAGGGATGCGAACATGCCAGGCGAAGCCGGGAATGCTCTCAAGGCACGCCCTATCTTCATGCTAATACGTGATACCTGTGGCATTCTGACATAAGGTCAGGTATGATCATAAAATGGCTTTTTCCATGACTGCGCTGTAGATGTCAGCGACTTGTAGCTGTCAGCGGCCTGTAGCATTACTACCTTGGTTGCTTCATCATTCATGACATGCACCGAAGTATTCCGGTGGCGGGAAGCATATTAAGGGTTATTTCAAGGGGAGGTTCGTTGATAAAGACTTGGGACTAGGCAAAGAAACCTTTCATGGGTAGATATACAACCTGAGAGCAATCATCACTGGAAACAGTATGAATGGTTGTCAGTAGCAATGCAACAGTCCGTACGTACTATCACATAGTTAGCATGGATGTAGGTAAGGTACTAGTTTCTAAGCCAACCCCAAAGCGGGACTGTAATTACCGAACGCCAAAAGACGCGTGGTTCGCGTTGGCCGAAGGACAGACCCGAAGACAATCTATACACCGCAGCTGCCTCCGTCCGCGGGCTGCGTCAAACAACTCCCCAACTCGCCTTTGCAGCTGGTCTCTCTGCGGCTTCTATGCGACACACATATAGCCTTCGAAATGACGCCCAACTCTTCAAAGAACCAGTTTCTTCGCGCTCCAAGGTTCGCTTGTCCGCATATTACAATAGCGATCGACGACATCACTGACATTTTGTCCGGACAGCGATCAGGAGTTCGAGCCCGTTTATCGTGAACCCTCCTTTTACAATCCTCTAGATACGTTCCGACTACCCAGTGGACAAGACCGACACTACCAGCAACAATATGGCGATATGTATTTCCTGCGACTGGCCAAGTTGAAGCCCGCCGTCGAAGAAATTGCCGTGGAGGCGTGGGAAGGATTTAGCGTCAGTACAACAATCCCTTGCTCATGGTGGAGCAAATCTCTGATGCTGGGATTTGTCCAACCGACCCAGCCTCAGGGTAAGCTGCTAATTGCGCTTTCGCCTACAGATCGCGGGAGAAAATGCACGTCGTGTGGAAAGAGTGCTAGATGTACGACAGGGAGAGCTCTGCTGGGTTGCAGGAACCATTTACATGGATATGCCACTGAAGCCCAATATTTTGGACGATTTGACCAAGGAGGTAAGGCACACTCAATCAGCACATATGCGCACGTGTCCTTCAACTGACTTCGCATCGAAAGAATTACACTCTCGCCCCTCCTCCTCGCCCGACCTATCAAGACCCTGCCCACCCTGAATTGACACAAATCATGTTGGAAGATGAATCTGGACGACTGCGCCTGACGGGCAATTCGCTCAGCTCTACACAGCTTGCGACCGGCGCTATCATTGCGGTCCTGGGAACGGAGAATGCCAATGGTGACTTCGAGGTCATTGACATCAAGGTGCCTGATTTGCCTCGACAGCCTCCTCGCTGGGAGAGGGATGAGGTGGATTCAGCACAGAAAGAGTCTAGCAAGGGCAAAATTGCATTCGTTAGCGGCCTCAGCATCACAGGCACATCGAGTGATACCCTCGCATTAGAACTCTTGACGGACTATCTCCTGGGCTATGCAGGAAGCTTCTCGACGGAGCAGGATGATAACTCGCCCCCGAAACCCTCTGCGATCACGAGACTGGTCATTGCTGGAAACTCGATCGGTACCAATATGACTACCGATGCTAGTGCTGAAGATGCAGCCGCTGCGAAGAAGAAAGCGGGCACCAAGAAGTACGGATACGACGCTTCCGCATACAACGCATCGCCGATCACGCAGCTAGACTCCTTCCTGGCAGAGATCTTACCCAGCATACCTGTTACTCTGATGCCCGGTGATACCGATCCCGCCAATTTCTCTCTCCCACAGCAAGGCATCCACCGTGCCATGTTCCCACGAGCCAGAGCATACTGCGCTCCACCCCCGGCCGGAGACGAGAAGCAGGAACCAGGCTGGTTTGATAGTGTGACGAATCCATGGGAAGGCGATGTTGAAGGGTGGCGTCTGTGGGGCAGCAGCGGTCAAAATGTGGATGACGTCCTTCGCTATCTAAATTTCTCAGATCGTGAAGGAAACGCCACCTCTACAGATGGTGATGTTGAGGCCCGGGTGCGGATAATGGAGGCCATGTTGCGTTGGAGGTGTGGAGTTCCAACCGCGCCTGACACCATATGTAAGCTCGATTCATCGTTTTACGTGTCGCAAGATCGAGCTAAACTGATTGCAACAGGGTCGTATCCTTTCCAAACAGATGATCCTTTTGTTATCGATACCTGTCCCCATATCTTCTTTGCCGGCAACCAACCGCGCTTCAAGACCGCGGTCATCGAGGGCGATATGCCGCTGAAACTACACGGCACAGACACAGAAATGGCCGGCACCGAGGACTATGTTTCCGTGCCGCGGGTTCGTCTTCTATCGATTCCCAAGTTCAGAGAGACTGGCGAGCTAGTCTTGGTTGATGTCGAGACACTAGAAGTTGAAGTGGTCAAATTTGGAGCGTTCGCCGGCCAACAAGAAAAACAATGATATGCTCCGACTTCCACCGCAAACAACAAAAATAACTATAGATATCATGAATACCCAAATGTACTCTTTATACCACCAATTTTCGATTCTGGCGCATACGCTCCGGCGATTGTATAGTTTCCTTGAGACAGCCGGCCCGGTGCCAAGACCTGCGCGGAAAAGCTACGGTTCGTCGGCCAAATTGTGGATTTTTGGCTGCATACAACCCAACCATCAGTCAATCTACACGGAGGGTCTCCGCCGCTTCGAACTGCAACAGATACCTAGGATAAAACAATAGATTGGACAACAATTGGGAAAGATGTTACTCAACGAAAAGACCGGTAAGCAGCCGGGAAACCTTCCGCCGATATGTTAGCCCCAGCCAAGGCTCCTAAAACCCGGATCTATATAGCCATTTCAACCTCCAAGGTCCTGCTTGTACCGTACTCCAAGTGGCATGTCCCCAGATATCATGAATGGATGAAGGATGAGGTAAGATTGATATGTGTCACATACCTCCTTGAACTCCCTCGCGTACTTTTTCTGGGTCTCCATCAATGCAACCCCCCAAATCAGGGCAAGCATATCGACTAATCCAAGATGATTAGGAAATCCAAGAAGCCACTGCTTCTGAGCCCCTCTCCCTAGAGGAGGAGTACGCCATGCAACAAAGCTGGCGCCAGGACCCGGACAAACTGACATTCATCGTCTGCCAACCTACAACAACAACAAGCTCCTCCTCTGACTCCGCTGGAGAAGGTGAGGTCACAAAACTCGACGACCACACCGCCGACGAACCCCACCACATGGTGGGGGACATCAACCTCTTCCTCCGCGTCGATGACGGCGAAGAAGGGGAGTCGGACCCGCAACTCGTCGGGGAGATCGAGCTCATGATCGCCGAGAAGCGCAACCAGCGGCGCGGGTTCGGCAAGGCCGCGCTCTACACCTTCCTCCGGTATATCATGGACCACGAGGCCGAGATCCTGGAGGAGTTTGTGGCGGGCGATGCCGCCGCGTTGCAGGCTCTGACGGTGTCTGGGCTGCAGCAACCACCGCGGCCGTGGAGGTTCGCCTGCCTGAGTGTGAAGATCGGGCAGGCGAATGAGCGGAGTTTGGCGCTGTTCGAGGGCGCGGGGTTCCGGAAGGTCTCGCCGGAGCCGAACTATTTTGGGGAGTTTGAGTTGCGGCGGTTGCGGGAGAGTTTGGAACGCGGGCTGGTGGATGAGAGTCTTGAAGGGGCTGGGGTTGCGGGGTATACTGAGTTGGAGTATACGAGGGTTCAGTAAGGGTTACTACTACCGGTCATCTATCATTGGGTTTGGGCTGGTGCTTCCCTGCGGGTTTGCAGTCATACCCCAGATTCCGCGACGTTACATCTACCATCTGCACCGCTTCCTGCAGTGAGCCGGCGTCGCTATGCCGGAGCAAATGACTAGTGAATGACGAGTGTATGCTGTGTCAATCCGCTCCATCGACAAAAGCAATAGCAATGACAATTGCCAATGATCACGGGATATTCTTTTTTTTGTCTTTGATCAAACGCCGTAAGAATCCAAAAAGAGCTCCGACGAAAACCGAATACCTGCAAACGAAACCCAGTCATGTTTAGGAGTTCTACGTCCGGGAGGAACTCGATATGCCAGTGATGCATCATTGGCATAGCAGTTGCCGGCCAGGCGGGGGACGACTCAGCCCCTCCCGTGTATTTCACCCCAAACAGAAGCAATTCCATGCAACCTGTGGAGATGACACACCAGCGCCCCATTCAAAAGCCAATCAATCTTTCAATTATCAATCGACACAAGAATTCAATTCCTGTTGCTTCTTCGAAAAGGAGGTGATATGAAAATTTCCATGCGCCGTTTGTTCGTCCGTTTTCACTTCCGAGCTCCACTTTCTTCACCTTGAACGCTTGACGTTTGACATGTCGAGGATCGTTTCGGACGAGAGACAAGCGGTGTGCGATATAGGAAGGTTGGGCTAGGTTCTCCAAATTTACAAAGCCTTCTTCTTGTCACCGTTGGTGACATCGACAACCTTGAGAGCTGTTTGTTGGGAGGAGGGGAAAGGCCATTGACGTCAGCGGATGATGGTCCCGAGGTAGGTGTGGTCTCCCCAGATTTCCCTGAGAGCTTGGCGGGGAGGGGAAACAGAAAACTATGAAGGGTTCAAGACGCACCAGGGGGAAGGCTCTGCTTGAGCTTGTCGGCCTTGTCGGAGTCCTTCAGGACAAGGGTGTAGACGTAGCGGGAGCAGCGGACCTTGAACTTGATCTGCTGGGTGTTGCGGTTGCGCTTGATGCGGGCAGCTGTAGATCACGAGACGATGGAAGAGAATTGTATTAGCCTCAATTGCAGTGACTCTGAGCATGTATTGTTATAAGGAGTTGGGGTCGGGCCATCATGTTGGTTTCTGGGCCCCCAAAGTGACTCGACTCTCCGCGGATGATCCCCCGCCTTGGGTTGGAACCCCAAGCTTCCATATCCGGGATTCGGTCCAGGTGTGCCACTCATTTTCGGGTGATTGGGGAGGGGTAGGGAAGGTCAAACGTACAGGACGCATCCTTGCGGCGGCAGATCTCAATGAACTGCTTGATGTCGGAGACTTCACGAGGCATAATGGGCAGAGGGGGTGGGTATGTGATTGGTAAGTTCGGGAGTGGTCGTCGTTTGAAGCTGAGCTGGACTGGCGGGCACAGTTAGTTCTCTCTCTCTCTACTTAGTTCTCTTTTGCGCTAATCTTGATAGGGTGGGCGGTGGGAGTGTCTCCTCGCCGTTCTGCCCCCTTCGGCCCGTGGGATTGACCGGGCCTCGCTGTGTGGGATGTAGGGTTGCCGCCCCGGGAAGCCCTGAGGGTTGTCCTTGTCCGTGCCACATCGTGGCGGAGCTTAGCTTCATTGCTTGACGGGAGCTGACGTTGTTCCTGTGGCGGTGCTGGCTAGACTCCTCCCCCGACAGGCGGCCGCTTTACTTCAACCCCGTTGGTCTATCCATAGTTTACCACCCACATCGAAGCCTGAGGAAGGAAACTATATCGCTGGTCTACATGTAGCATATCTGGCCAGTTCCATAAGCCAGATAAATATCCTAGCCAACCACTACTGCCCATCGTGACTTCTGTATCCAAATCAACCTTACGTCAAGAATACATCCAATATGCCAACGCCGTTGGATCGTGCTTTGAACTCCAAGGTACACACACCCTCAGATGTGAAGTCTATCATAATTAGCTAACGTACAAATCTCTCTAGAATCTCTTTTTGGGTATGATCTTGAGTGAAACATGCAAGTGTTTCTTGGAATCAACATTCTAACTTTCTTTCAGGGTTCACTGGGATGGTGACAGCTGCGGCCGTCTGGGCTATTTGGGGTAGCGACATGTTCCCTGCGGAGCCAGACCCGACAGGAGGTACGGGTTGGGGTCCTTGAGCTGTATTATTCATGCGTTGACTTCTTTTAGACCCCGAAACCTGGTCTCATGATGAAATGCGAAGATGGCTTCGGGCGGTAAGTCTGACCCCGTAGAAGTTCCTTCGAACCTTGCGCAGATGAATAGGCAGCTCCCTAACAACCAGATAGAGAGGACTTCTGCCTCATGAGAGCGCAACGCGTGAAGAGCTGCTTGAGCGCATAAAAGCCAATTTGCGCGTGCCGCGCAGAAGCCAAGCTTGATTTCCGAGTCGGGCATGGTGTATGGACGAGCTCCGGAATAGTGTTTTCTTTTATCGGCATGTCATAGCGTTTGTAGGTTGAATGTTTTTCTTCTCCTGCGGTGTATCTCAAGTTGAAACAAATGTCGTTGAATGTCTTTCGTTGATTCGCAGCGCATCATGTGAATTGTTACTGGACGACGCGTCCGCCTCGCGCGATCATACCTCGATTGATTTGCTCTTCTAAACCACCAGCCGGAAGTTCTGAGTCTGAATGAGCCATTCACGCCTGCGCTTTCCCTTCGGTCCATCGGCAGTGGGGTTCGGGACCAGGACGAAGGTCTCGCTGAATCCGCGCTGTGGTAGATCTCTGGATTCGCCGAAGCGGACAAAGCCGCTGACGATCACGAGGATGGACATATCCTTGACGGTGGTCTCTGTGGGGAGCTTGAAGCCCGTAGCGGTAGGTGTGGGATATGTGCGATTGATGATCTGGCAGTCGAATGACTGCACTTCGTAGTGAGTGGGAGTCATCTGGTTGACGAAAATCTCCTGGACGGCGGCGCCATCGGCGACAACGTTTCCGTTGAAAAGGATAGTCGAAGCCTGTTGACTGTAGAATGAGGAAATGGTGGCGCGGTTGGACTGGAGTGCAGGATAAAAAGAATTCACAAATTCAGTTGCCGCTGTAGGTGTGAGAAAGTTCCATCAGTAAGAGGTCACTAGATTTAGACGGGCAAACCCACGTACCCTCCGTGGAATGCTTGACCAGCGTGTCTTCAGATGCAGGGGCCATTGTGAGCTGTAGCAGCGGTTTCTTCCTATAAGAATGAAGGGGTGAAGGGAAAGATAGCGCGTGAGAGAGCGTGAGAGAGCGTAAAAGAGCGCACGCGAGAGGAAGAGCGAGATGGTTGCGGAGGAAGGAAAGGCAAGGCCAGGCCGAGCGGCAGAAAAAAGGCACGGAAGCTTGGACCACCTTCCCGGAGACGAGCTTCGGAGAAGTCGCAGGTCCGCAATCATTTCCACCTTCCTTTTCTCTCCAGACATCCCCAACAATGGCAGTGCTGAGGGCTGGTACTTGTGCTCTGCCATGGGCAGGCCGGTTTCTGGCTTCCAGTCGATCCTCCTGGAAACTTGCATCGTGTAAGGCTGCGCTCACCGCGACAATTGCGCGTCCCCGTCGTTTCGCAACAGCTGCCTCCGAGCCCACTCCGGGGAAGCCGTACTATATCACGACCCCGATCTTCTATGTCAACGCCGGTAAGCTGATTGCAATACTTCTTCTCAGCTGGGGGACACGTAAAGCTAATGACTGGTTATTTCTAGCTCCTCATGTCGGTCATCTGTATACCATGGTCATTGCCGATGTCCTGAAGCGATGGCGAACATTGCTCGGCGAGACCGATGCTCAGCTACTGACGGGAACCGACGAGCACGGAATGAAGGTATCCCAAGGCCTATCTTATAGACGGAAACGACGCCGAATGATAATGAAGATTGACTTGTCGCCGTCATAGATCCAGCAGGCTGCTCTAGCCGAGGGAATGGAAACGCAAGTGTTGTGCGATCGGAACTACAAGAAGTTTGAGGTGGGTATCTGTCAATCATCGGCTAGCTTGTCTCAATCATGCTGAGTTGAAATCCCACAGGACCTGGCGAAGGCTGCAGACTTGGACTACAACTACTTCATTCGAACGACGGAGCCTGCGCACAAGGAAGCGGTCCAATACTTCTGGGTATGTCAAGCCATGCTTTTACCTTTGGCTTCCACTAATAACGGTATAGGAAATGCTGCAACATAGGGGGTTCATCTATACCGCCAAGCACGAAGGATGGTACTCGGTCAGCGATGAGACCTTCTACCCCCAAACACAAGTGCATAAATCACTTGATCCGGAGACGGGACATACGAGGATGGTGTGTCTATATCAAGCTTTGCATTGGACATGAATAACTAAGCTAACTTAGATTAGATTTCTATGGAAACAGGGAAGGAAGTGGAGTGGTCTTCGGAAACAAACTATCATTTCCGACTGTCAGCCTTCCAGGAACGCCTACTAGATCTATACAAAACCGGCTTCATTACCCCAACGAATTATACAACCAACATCGTCAAGTCCGTTTCTGAAGGTCTTCAAGATCTGTCGATCTCCCGACCTTCGGAGCGTCTGACGTGGGGTATTCCAGTACCCGGAGACGACACGCAAACCATCTATGTCTGGGTAGATGCGTTGGTCAACTACCTCACTAAGGCAGGCTATCCCTTCGCTCCGGGCCAAGGGGCTCGCCTTGGTTGGCCGGCGGATGTACATGTGGTTGGGAAAGATATTGTTCGGTACGAGTTGGTCCTTTGCGCTTCTGTGTAAGACAACATAGCTAACCATATAAAAGCTTCCACTGTGTTTACTGGCCAGCCTTGCTTATGGCTCTCGATCTTCCGCTGCCTCGCAATGTCCTGGTTCATGGGCACTGGACCTTGAATCGAGAGAAAATGTCCAAGTCCACAGGCAATGTGGTAAACCCTTTCTTCGCAATCCACCGCTTTGGCGTCGACACGATGCGCTTCTTTCTCATTCACCAGGGTGAACTGGCGGGAGACGCAGATTATGACAACGCTTACATCATCCGCGATTACGAGAAGGTGTTGCAAAAGGGCCTCGGCAATCTCGCTGCACGGACGATCGGGTGTGCGAAGAAGGAGTTCCGGACTTACATCGTCAATGGAGTAGAGGGAAGGCTTCCCTCGCCGACATCTGCCGATACGGACTATGAAGGGCAACTGAGAGAGCTACCCACGAAGGTTGCAAACCACATGAACAGCCTAAACCCGCGTGCAGCCCTGCAAGAAATCAGGGCTATCATTGAGTTGGTAAGGAGCCATACACACCTCTTCCTCTTCCCCCCTTATCAAGCCCTCGAACTGAACTGACGAATTTGGCATCAGAGCAATAAGTACTTTCATAATGCGGCGCCCTGGCAGAACCCTGGAGAGACCCAGCGAGTCATCTACAATGTCGCCGAAACCATACGGACGTGTGGTATTCTGCTGCAACCATTTATGCCCACCAAATCGAAGGAGATTCTGGACATGTTTAAGGTGCACCCACAGAGCAGAAGCTTCGCGTCGGCCGAGTATGGGTCGGACCCATCCTACGGAGAAGATACCAAAAAGAAAGTCCTGTTTCCCCCGCTTCCTTGTCGATTTGATAACGAATAGGGCCCGGGACCCAATCACGACATCCAATCTAGAAGTAAGGCCGGTCAGCCCGGTGTGGCAGAAGAGGAGAAAAGGCGGATCTCCTGGGAGGGTCACGATCTCCGCTCCCAGCAAGTGCGGGATTCCAGAGCGTTCCTTCGACCCGGTCAGGTCAGTCGCTTGATAAAGGTTCGCCAACGGGCGCTTTATCCCTGACCTATGCCCCATCTGCAAGGGAGGTTTATGTTATGTCATCGGTGGATGGCGACTGGAGCAAGGTTTCGTAATGTTTATCAGCGGGAAAATGGGGGTGGTGAGTGGTGGTGGTTGCGCTCCGCCCAGGCCTGGGAGATATCGGTTCGGGAAACTCAGGGAGAGAGGGTTTCCCGCGGCAAACTGGGTTGGTGTGAGAGCCGACTATATCGGGAACCGTGCGTTGTATATCACATTCACTGGGGTGGTCCAGAGGGTTATATCATGAGAAGTATATCAGGTTTGTTGGTTGAGTTTCTCTGACGGATGGTTTGTGAAAAGAAACGCAGAGGATCTCATCTCAACTCATTTCTACCTATTCTTGGTTCTCTCCCCTCCTATCTTGTACATTATCGTTTCTATCCTTCACATACAATCACTCATCGATACTAGATCTTCCATACTTCCACAAACAACGCATTTCCTTTCATCTTATTCTTCTGATCCCAACAGACCGGGTCTCATCTCCCTCTTCGCCCACCCTTGAGGAAACACGCCCACTTTCTCTCCCCAACGAAAGAGCAAACCATACAACCATGGGCAGCATCTCCCTCTCCCAGACGGATCCCACCGCCACCAAGAACACAGACCTCCCAACCTTTAAATCCCCATGGCACCCGACCCCGTTAATCGAATCCACCACCCTCTCCCGCGCCGCGGGGTGCCGGATCTTCCTGAAGCTGGAGAACCTGCAACCGAGCGGCTCCTTCAAGTCGCGGGCCATGGGCAACCAGATCCTGTCGCACCTGCGCAAGCCCGAGCACGCCCACCGCGCCGTCCACTTCTACGCCTCCTCCGGCGGCAACGCGGGGCTGGCCGCCGTCTGCGCCGCCCGCACCCTCGGCTACCCCTGCACCGTCGTGGTGCCCGTCTCCACCAAGCCCCTGATGGTGACGAAGCTGCGGCGCGCCGGGGCGGCGGACGTCATCCAGCACGGGGAGACGTTCGCCGAGGCCGGCTTGTACATGAAGGAGGTTGTCATGCAGACAAAATCTTCTGGAGAGGAGGGGGAGGAGGTGGTGGTCAAGATCGCGCTGCATCCGTTTGATAATGAGCCTATCTGGGAGGGCAATAGTACTATCGTCGATGAATTGGTGCATCAGATCCCTTCGCCGGTGGGGCCGGAGGAGGAGGCTGCGCAGGCCGGACGGGCGTTGCCTGTCGATGCGATTATTTGTAGTGTCGGGGGTGGCGGGTTGTTGAATGGGTTGGTCGCGGGTATTGAGCGGGCGCGGGCGCGGTTGGCCAGGCCGTCTTCGTTGGCCGAGGATGAAGCTGATCAGGAGTCGGTGGTCAAGCCGGTGCATCTGCTCGCCGTGGAGACCAAGGGCACGGATTCCCTGGCCGCCGCGCTGCAGCACGAGGAGCTGGTCTCCCTGCCCAAGATCACCTCGCAGGCTACCTCGTTGGGCGCGGTGCGCGTCTCCGAACGCACCTTCCAGTATGCCGTGAACCCGCCCCCGGGCGTCAAGGTGCATAGTGCCGTGTTGTCGGATGCGGAGGCGGCCAGGGGCGTGTTGCGGCTCGCGGACGAGGAGCGGATGTTGGTGGAATTGGCGTGTGGGGTGTGTGTCGAGGCGGCCGTTGGCGGTGGTTCGTCGTCGTCAGCAAACAAGAAGAGGAAGTATGTGGATGAAGGCTACGGCGATGATCGGCTGTCGGCTGGGGAGAATGACGACGAGGGCTTCTCGCCCGTGCACCCCCCTTCGCCTGCGGCGGCATCGCTGTCGTCGAAATTGAATCAGTTGATCCCCGACTTGAATGAGGACAGCCGCGTGGTCATCGTCGTCTGTGGCGGCAGCAATGTCACCATCGATATGGCGGCGGAATGGCGGAAGATGCTGAGTGAGGGCTGGGCTTGACTGCGTTGGGATCTTGGGTTGTGTCCTATACGAATAGATAGGCTGCTCTCTGGGATCAGATCCTGGATGCGCAGGTCTCCTCTTACGATCTTTAATGAATTCATGATTGTTTTTAGATCCGCTTTGGGTGTATTTTGCCTCTGTAGCAGGAGAACTAGAGCCGGATGGAATCTGATGCCGGAATGCTATCTTCTTCTGTCGTTTGTCGGGTAGAGGGCAATGATCACTGTGTGGCAGGGGGTGTTGTCCGAGACTCGGTTGGGACAATTCGACGACTCTGCATGCATATACACGTTCTATAACCAGACTGTCAGTATTTACCTTCCTGACCATGGACATATGTATTTTGTGCCGGAGAGGTTTTGGCTTACCCTCTGTTTATCCCCGACTTCAGTGACATTCTGCTTGCTGATCGTGAAGGCGTCTGAACGTGCTTATGCCGAACTTCATCACGTCAAGCCGGATCCCACCATGCCCGCATGCTTCGTTCACTATGTTGACTCCAAACTACCTGCTTAGTCCCATTTTCTTGTGCCTTGATATGCTATACAGGTGCATCATGATCATGGCCCCCCTGGATGTCCTCTCCCTCCCCATCGTCCTCCTCGTCCTCCCATTCTGAGTCCGCCTCGCTTTCTCCCTCAAAAGGGTCAGTAATGGTGACTATCCCCTCGTCTTCTTCCTCGTCATCTAAATCTTCGTCGAGCATGGTTATCAGTTCTACCAGAGCAGGTGAGACTGCCACACCCTCAAGCGGTAGAGGAGCTTGTTCGGGACCCCACAAGTTTTTCCCGGCTGCAGCCGAGTCCTCAGATCCGTTGGCATCTTGGTTCGACTTGGGCGTATCACCGTCAAGTTTGGGTGCTAGGTTGAGTACACGAACTGCCTTGATGGGGAAGATACGAGCGGGGCCTTGCTGTGGTTGTGGAGGTGTGGCTCCGGGGAGATGAGGCAGCGATTGACGCCATGCGATAGTCTAGTCCGAATGTTAGTCCTGCGTATCCCAATTCCACAATTGAAAAAAAATGTAACATACAGTGTAAGTAGTCATGATCGCATCATCATACAGAGCCATGAAACTGACCGGCACATTGAGATGCACCACGGAGCTGGTGACTAGTGAGAACGACCCGCGGGCAGGACGATCTCCAACTTGTACTCGATCCTTGTCATCAAGCCCGACAACATACACCCGGTCTTGAATTTCGAACATCACGCGGTGGTTACGCACTGACAACCACCCGCCCAGGTCAAAGCCCCGCCCATTGGAATCACATTCGATGAGATCACTATGCGCCGCCATACTGGCTGAACTTTCGAGTGCCTTACGCCAGTTAGAGCACACGAAAACACGACCAGCACGGGAGAAGCCGGTGAAGAGGTCACCATCTAACATGCCAGCTCCCCATTCGTCCTCTCTGTTGCGAACATGCTCAGGGTCATTGGGCGTTGGGAACGGGCCCCGTTCGACCTTGATCGGAACCAGATGATCTTTGCGAGATACCCCCTCCTGGTATGATGAACGCGATGTCCCCTGACGCACGGCGTCTGCAAAGCCCGCAAATGCTGCTCTTGGGGAGGGGTGCGCGACCGCTGGCGGGCGAATGTGATACTTCTCCGTACAGAGTGACGGCTGCAACTCACCCAAGAACGCTCCCGACTTTTTATCGTAGACGTGATATCCTCTTGGACCCATGGAGTAGATCACGGCATCCTGACTCTGGTCGAGATGGCCCACAGCATCATACTCAATGTCCAGGTGCGTAGTGAGCTGGGGAGGTCTCTGTGTCATATCGTACACGAAACCCTGCCCCTCGGTCGAAACCACGCAGAGTGTTCCGTACGAGAGCTGGAAGCCTCGCGTTTGACAATCATGGTCCAATATTGCGATGCGCCGGAATTCGCCACGCTTGGCCCCTTCCAGATCCGCCTGCCAGACCTCCAGTGCATCCCCCTCGCGATCAAAGACGGCCATGCCATCCTGATATTCCAGATGCGCAAAGGGGCGGACCGCATCATCATCGCTATCCAGCGTCGAGGGAAGGTTCCACAGATTCAGGCCCGTGTCCATGTCAGTGACGTATAGTCCGCCCGCATGCGATGTTGAGATGAAGATTCGACGCTTGAAGTCGGGGCGGAACCGCCAGATAAACTCATTGCCGACCTGCAGCACTGACTCTCGCGCAGACGGTTGCGACTCGGCCCAATTGCGGGTGAGCAGCGCATGGCGCTTACACAATTCTTTGCATGGTAGAGCACCTTCGAATAACTTGGAGAATGTGGTGTTACTCAGCTGAGAGGAGCGTCCGGAGGGTTGATTATTCTTAAGTGTAGCGGCGTAGATCGCTTGTTGGTGTGTGACGTCGATAAATTGATGCCAGGCTTTGGATACCGCCGTGAGAGACGCTAGGGTGGGTGCGGGGGTGAATTCCAGGACCCGTAAAACAACCTCTGGAGGTAGAACGCTTAGAGGATCTGCTAAGAGTTCAAGGTCAGACATTCTCAGTTCAATGGTTGTTCTATGAGGCAGGAAGTCGGAATAAGAGAAGTTGCAGAGAGTTGGAGAAGAGGGGCCCTTGATACTGATGATTCTGTCTCGGCTCACCGCCCCCGATAAGGATTACATTTCTTATCGCTCCGCTCTATCGGAAATACGGAAGAGTTGCGATAAACTAAGTATATACTTGAGTTTCACTGAGTACATGCAATGCAACTAGAATGGCTGAGCCTAAATCAGAATTCACAATCATGCAGAAATCGTCGCCTCTGGTCCTGTGATAGATCGAATCCGATAATCCCAGTAGTTTCTCCGAATGGGATCATACTTCTCCTTTAGCAATGTGAGCATTTGAACCGCTTTCTGGCCTGACGTTGGCTCCGTTTCCTCTGCAAACACATCAGCGAGCCATTCTATGGCATGGCTGCTCTTCACCTCGAAGCCGTCGTGATTTTCCGTCACAAACTTTCCAGCAAAGTCCTTCCACTCCGCCAGGGGTCGGCCTGCAGCGCGCAGCACACCTCTCGCGTAAGACCATGGACTGCGATTCTCTGGCGCCCGGACGATTTTGGACTGGGCGAACTTCAACTCCGCGTCGACTACGTCCTCATCAACCACTGCCAGCCGGCCCTTCTCCGCGGGGGGTCCGTCACTATTTGGCATCCCTGCATCGGGCTCCCCGTCACGAGGCCCAAAACGAAGCATAAAGCGGTGATTCCAGGCGGAATTGTTTCGAACGTCCGAGGTCAACAAAGCCTCCACATCCTGAATTTCACGTGGAGCATCCCACAGCTTGAAATGCCGCACCAACCAATGGCGGTAGGTCCACACGTGGTAGTTCTTGGAGTCTTGCGCAAACATTTCCATCAAGAAGTCTGCTTCCTTGTGTGGAGGCGTAGGGAAGAAGTCCTCGCGTGATACCAAGACTTGGCGATGGTGCCTGAGGGTATTAGATGGCTAAAGATATACACGAAACGTAGAGGGTAGCTGATCATACCAAATCTGATAGTTCTTCAGATACTTGAGCGATACACCGTTCAACCATTCCAGTTCGTCCTGAAGGTCTTTCCCTAAAGCAAAAAGAATCTTGGCTCGGTAAATCCTTTGTTCGGTCAGCCTCGCTTTCAGTATTGCTTGGGGCTAGTCATGAGTGAAGTTCATATTAGCCTACCATACGGTATAATGAGCGGGGTTCATTGCGATAATGTCTTGAGTCAGCTTCAACGCCCTTTCAGACATCTCGTTGGCGGCCATTACTGCGCGCAAATATGAGGTGGCTTCGAGGTATGCTTGGGGATAAGCAATGGTAGCCAGAGGCTGGGCACCGGATTCGGAGCCATCGTTGAGAGGGATGGGTTGAATTGAAGCCCATTCGGGGTCTGACGAGTATTTGCCCTCCATATTGATTCGCTAGATTTGGGATAGCAACACAGTCCTGGGGAAAGATGGACAGCTCCTGAGAGGCGACACAGCACGTCCCACAAGTAACCAATTTTAGACGATGTCGAAATCTAGTACTATGTGTTGACACAGCAAGATATGATCACAAATCCTGGCACTCGCAACCACGGAGACCGGGTTAGCTGCAAATATAGGGAGGGTCCTGTGTCGGGTTTGGCAAAGCAAATGATGCAGCTAAATTCAATCACGGGATTTTCGACCACCAAACACAGAGATTCTGTTCAGGCGATAGTATACACAAGTCTCCGAGCTCATGTACAGGTGTGTTATGTAGATGATTGGTTCAAATGGATGCTGTTGGCATTGATTTTGAGTGCTCTGAAATTGATAGATCGAATCGAAAGCGTAAGTGTGTTTGGGGGGGGGGAATTGGAAGGTGGTGGGGGTATCCTCATGCCTGAGGCATCTCAAAGACAATATCAAGGCAGCCATCCATGCAATTTATTGTTCTCAATTTGTTCTCATTCTTCAATGCCAAATGCTCTCTTCTGCTTTCGTCCACAATTGCGATTCGACCAGCGTTCAGTTGCTCCTTGCTTCTGGTCAACATCCGATTCATGTGTCTTTCAGGGTCTCTTTGTCTTCATCATACTCACTGCCCAGGCCCAGAACTCCGGCTACTTTGGATTAAGTCCAGACCGCAGGATTTCCCAAAGAGGATAAAATTCCCCTACCGGCGTTGCGCCGCTGCTCCCCGCACATCCCCCCCAGTCCGTCGTCACCTGCAACCGCAGCCAGCGCATCCTTCCCTCTCGTTCGCCTCCCTCCTAACATGCCAATTCAATCACTAGCCTTATCCTTAACCTACCATGAGCCCGCTATTGATTGATAATGCGTCGCGTCAAGAAATCCCGTAATGGCTGTGCTAGGTGCAAGAGCAAACGGGTGAGTCTTCCTCCCTATCGGTGCTATCAGTTCCATTCCCACACCCACAGCCCACGAAAATCTAATGATACCTTCTTTCTCCAGGTCAAATGTGGAGAAGAAAGACCTCACTGCAGTCGATGTACCCGCTTAGGAGTTCACTGCCCTGGATACGTCCAGTCGCTACGATGGGTTACCAAATACCCAGACCGCAACCCTGATACAGCCCATGAGACTTCCGATGAAACTACAGCTGAGCCGAGCGCTCGATCCGATGCTAGACCTCCGGATAACTCAGGTTCCCCGGATCATGTCGACCCCCACACACAGCCTTCATTAACCGCTAACGATGGCTCTTTCAATCTTACGTCTCCTGACGCCCAGGTCGAGTCGAGCACGCTGGCACTGGGCGGCCCGCACGCTTTATGCGATAGTCTCTGGGATTTACAACAGTCCGGTACACTTCCCGAGCTCGCAGATCTATGCAATCAGACTCCGACTTCTGCCTCGGGGCCAACTCCAGCGCCTCAAGACGGCTCGATCTTCAATTTCGGGTCGCCCAACCACGGCGACGATCCATTTGGTCTATCCTCCTTAGCAGCGCCCATACTGCAGGATGAACCTCGCAGCTTCTCCGGGTTCTCACCATCCACCATCGTACGCCATTATCCACCTCCCAACTCGAAAGTACCGCAACGAGACTTCACCTCGATCTCACAACCTCTAAATAACCCATCATGGACCCTCATCGAATACTATTTCAAAGAAGTGGCGGCATTATTCTCGAGCTATGACAGCCAAATGAACCCCTTCCGATCAACGGTGTCTCGGCTCTGGGGCTCATCCCTCGCCATGTGTCGGACCATGCAGAGCATGGCAGCGGCCACCCTCGTGAACGACTTCCCCGAGTTCGGACCGTTGGGCCGAAAGATGCGCAACGAGGCCGTCGACATCATCAGCAAAGAGGCGAATTTGGACGACAAGTCCCTGCTAGCACTTCTCATGCTGGGCCAAACGGCAAGCTGGCACGATTCCAAAGATCTTGGGATCTCGTTCTTCAATCTACTACGGAACCATCTCGATACAAGACCCGAGAAGAGCCCAACAACAGGCCGCGGCAACAACCATCAATTCTTCGAAGAGGCCTTGATCTACTGGGAAATGCTCCTGTCCTTCGTCGCCGACGATTCCGCGGTCCTGTGCGGGACCACGGCCGCAGGGCCCGAGGAATCCCTCGTCCTACAGCGCGTGCCTCACCCGTGGACCGGAATTGCGCGTGACACCCAATTCACCGTCCAAGAGGTGGGACGGCTGGTGCGCCGCGAGAGAAAGCGGATGCGCTGCCGCACCTTCACGTCCCACGCCGACGTCGCACAGGCGCAGCAGGCCATCGAGCGAGCAGAGGAACTCGAAGAACGACTGTTGGGACTCGCACACCCCGCGGAGGCCGAGATCATCAGCCCCGGCGACGACGAGACCCCCGTGTGGCATCTCCTCACCATGGCCGAGGTCTACCGCTGCACCGGGTTAATGCAGCTATACCGCGTCTTTCCCGATCTGCTGCGTCGACGACTGCGTCCACAACGGGCCTCGGGCAGCAGCCCCCCCAGCGGCGCCGATGATGCGTCGTCCATGTCCATGTCCATGAACAACCGCGATCCCTTCCTGTCCCCCGCGTTCGGCAGCTCGCAGCACTGGTTCTGCGACCCTGTCCTTCTGCATCCCAGCCCTGGCGAAGCCCCCACCGCCGCCACGGCACCGCCGGGGCCGCCCCCGTCTGAACCCATCCCCGCGCCTGCGTCGGCCTCCCAGTACGACACCTGGCTGACCGAACTCGCCCTCACTACCCTCTCGCGCCTGAAGACCATCCCGCTCGAATCCCGCACCCGGTGCCTGCAGCCGTTCCTCCTGGTCGCCTCGAGCAGCGAGATCCGGCTCCCTCGGCTTCCACCCCTAGAAACCAACCTCGACAGCAACGGTCCGAATATCTCTGCCCACGCCATCGATGTCTCCCAGACGCGTCGGTTCATTCTCGGTCGTCTCACCTCCTTCATGCATGTCCTGCCCCCGAAGCCCATCGGCGTCTGTCTGGAACTGGTACGCGAGGTGTGGCGGCGGATGGACGCCGGCGAACCGGAGGTGTATTGGATGGACGTCATGATGGAAAAGGGGTGGGAGACGACCATGGGCTGAATCCTGGGTTACATAAACACAAGCAACACTTTCGCGCGAGAACATGTACATATATACTTATGAGAATGAATGCTGGATACCCAGTTTATTGTGTGAATTGTATGAACTGCACTTTGCATGACAATCTCCGCGTAAAGAATATATCGGACAGGATGACTTCTGTCTGCAAGGGTAACGACTTCCCCACATGGATGGTATCGACATTTGACTTCCGACAATTGAACTGTGACTCACATTGGACCAGCGTTTCAAATACCTCAATCGCGTACTGTCCCTTCTCACTCCAGCCAACACCTAGACTAACAATATTTAATAACAAGGAAGAGGGAGAAAAAAGGCGGTTTGGGGGAGCCCGAAAAGAAAGCCAGAATATGAAGGCGTAGAAAGCAGAATGAAAGCGAGATCATGGAGTTAAAGTGGAATAACCCAAGCAAGAGGCACGCATGCCCAAGTGAAGTCCCAGGGGAATTATGATACACAGAAATGAAAAGGCTGATGAGATCGAATGGAAAGGAAAAAGTGAAAAGCATCAAGTGCTCCAGATGGGGGTGATTAAACGTAGGTATGAAAGATGCAATCATATAATGCTCGGTCCCCTGTTCAGGGAGTAAGCGGTCATGAGAAACTGCCAAACAGAAATAAATGGCGAGATGAGGAGTTCGCAAGCGATGCGGGGGAAGACGAAGGTCAGGCCTGTTCATACTGCCCGTCTCCAGAATTTCCAGCCTTCGCGTTTTTCCTGAACGCCGACACCTACGAGTCTTTCAATACCGACGGGGCCGTCGGCGTTCTCAAACTTTTGTTGATCAATTTCCTCACCACCCTCCTCATCGGTGCCGTTGCGCAGAACTGCCGGCCAAAGGACACCGACACCGTCACCGCCTAGAGTGGTCTCGTATTTCGTGAAGTTTTCGTCGGTAAGCTTCTGCTCGAGCTGTCGTAGAGACTCCTCGCTAGCATCTGGGCGGAGAAGAGAGATTGCACATCCACCTCCACCGGCACCGGTCAACTTGGACCATCCGATGTCGGTATAGTCAACTAGCTCGCGGATTCGCTCCAGTCGCGGATGCGACACGCCTAGCGACACAAGCAACCCGTGGTTAATACGGAGCAAGGAACCGAAACGTTCAAGCTCCATCTGGTCCAGAGGTCTGCCATCCGTATTCTTGATGGCGTCTTTAGCAGACACGGTCACCTTCTCAATTGCATCCAGCATCGATTCAGTCACCAGGGGATGCTCCTCTTTGAGCTTGCCCACCTTAGCAACCTCAACCGCGGTGGAGCGGGCCTGTCGCGTGTCTATCAACCAAAGGGGCAATTCGGGGAAGTTGGGTACCGGCACCACCGTGGGCGGCTTGGTGTAATCTTCGCGCCGGAAGAACACAGCCTTACCGCCTGCGGAGACCGTATTGTCCACTCCACTCGGGTTCCCATGCATACACATTTCTCCAACGAAAGCCCATCTATTGATGCGCTCAATCTGAAGCTCCGCCTCATCTGGGGGTTGGTCGGGGTGGGGACCAGCTAGCGTGCGGATTTGAAGTAGTAGGGCCGTACTCATACAGACACAAATACTAGCACTGCTACCGAGTCCGGCACCAATAGGGATCGTAGAGCGCAGGGTGTAGATAGCGCCATGACTCTGGGGAGAGCCCAGGGAGCAAAAGAGGTATAGGAATGCTAGGGCAGACCGACTGTGGATTTTTCGTAAATCCTCCGGCGCATGGGGCGATACGTCTTGGACGTGGGGTATGAGTGCGTCGTACAACTCGGTGTCGAGAGATGTGACCAGGTCGTAATAGTACTTCTTCTTGGAGGGCTGCTTGAAGAGGTCCCATGGTAGCTCATCGATGTTCCAGGTGTGATCGAACTTGATGTCTCGGAAGTTTAAGGTGATAGTGCGCTGCGACTTGGACAGGGTGGTGACGAGGAAGTAGGAGCGGAGGGAGATGGCAGCAGCCATGGCTGCCTTACCGTGTACCACGGCATGTTCCCCGAAGACGATGACCTTTCCCGGCGCGGACACCATGAACGGCGGGGCCATAGGAGACGAAGCTTTCCGGGCCATAGCTTTCTTGATGGAGCTTGCTTCGATGGTAGGAGACGTCGCAGGCAGACTGGAGGTAGTTATGCTGGTAGTGTTGGTGGAAGTCGTGGAGGCGGCGTCGGAGGTGTCAGGGCTATCATCGCAGACGGTAACCGTCTTTGCACCGGGGGGGAGGGATTGATCGGAAATAATGTGTAACATTGTGCGACGTTGACCGCTCTTAGACGCTCTGAGACTACCAGGCTTGCGACGACCGCGACCGTTGTGCATTCCTGGTGGAATTGACTAATAAGGGGTGGTAGTATAAGTGTGGAGGGAGGGAGGGAGGGGCGGGTCGTGGATGGCGGAGATGGAGATGGAGATGTAAGGAGAGAGAGCAGAAAGAAGGCGCGAACGAATGTCGGGGTTGACAAGGACAAAGTCAAGGGGGGTTAAAGAAGGAGAGAATAGATGTTGAATCGAGTGAAAAGCATCGCGCTTTTTGTAAGAAACTTGCGAACAAGAAAAAAAAAAGAAATTAGGGATAGAGAAGAAGGAACTGGGAGAGAAAGACAGAAAAGGGGAGTGAGTGAGTGAGAGCGAGGGAGTTCAGCTGGAGTGAGAATCGCAAGTGCCAACGGCTAACTTACTGTTGATTGGGGTTTCTTGACTGGGGGGGAGAAACTCCAAAAAGGCCTGGGCTAGCCTGAGGTGTCCACCACTTTCTCATCCACCTCCAGTCCACCAATCACACAGAATGTATTTTTCATTACTCACCGGCGGTTCTTGTTTGTCCGCACCGTGATAGGCAACCAATTTACACACAAACAAACAATCATTCATTCTTTGACCCCGGCTGTTATAGAGGCAGCGCTGAGGCGTTATTCAAGGCCCCGGGGGTGGTGTCCATGAAGACTGGATTCTACACGGTAGCTGTGAGTCTGCCTGTAGCTTCCCTGCTGTCGGCTGAGTTGTTCTTTATGCAGGATTGTTCAGGCTGACACCAGTCAGCATCATCAAGCCTCAGCTGCAGCTCGGACCAACTTAGTTATGCTTTTTCTATACTTCTAGAACCATTTGGGCCCCTCTTTCCCCATCATGGTCTCTACCGTCGCTTGTTTGAGTAACTATGATCTATGGCTTAGTCTACGCACACAAAGCAGCATGGTGGGTGTCACTACTAGGTACACATTGTCTATCCTACCAGACATTGCAGCTGAGCCCCAAACAGAGCCCGAAACTACTAGTAACATGAAGGCATGCGGAGTAAGCTTTAATCAATAGTCCTATGAGTCATAACAAGATGGCTACACCACGATGAATAAATAAACATTCTGGGCCTCTCATCCGGGGTTGGTGTAACCATGTGTCCTGCATTGCGGCCGACAAGCTCAGTAATTTCGACTAGAGCACTGACTCATTCTGGTCTCGAGGTCTGTCAGTTCTCTCTTTCAATCTCTCGAGTTTGCATGACAGATAGTACAAGGCTGGCTCAAAGCATACCTCCTTCAGTCACTCCATCCGAGTGCCGGTCGTCGATGCAATATCCATGGCAGCATCGCCTATCATAATCGCAGTTGCTCCGTTGATAGAAGCGATAGCCATCTCGACAACGATGGCAACGTCCACTTCGACCGTAGTCTCGAATCTCGTAACAGCGATCACGTTGACCGGCCACGGCGGTCAACAGGCTGCAGCCGACAAGAAAGGACAGCCAAGAGCTGAGTTGCATGGTGGTTTAAGGCGGTTTCGTTGTGATGAAGGTTGATGACCTGGAGAGAAGGAGGACTTTCAATTCCCCTATGATGGGCGGTTGCAGTCCAGCTTAAATACCCTCGAGCTGCTGCCATGATGCCCTCGCTGGACGTCGTCCGTCCGAGTGCTACAGACCTGCAGCCGCAATCCAGATTGCAATCGGAATGTTTTTGGAAGTCAATCTCCCACTCGGACATTTACCTATGCAACACAAGGACCCAGGCATCACACCCAGCTGACCGAAAAAGCTCCCCTCCTGTACAAAGTCTTCTATGCTTGTAGAACACAATACGCAACGATGGCTACATCTTCATGGACTGATTGGCAGTAGGTTTGATGTTGGAGTCGATGGATCAGCTATGAGTATCCTCTTCGGCCGACAGGTCGAATACCTCGATTTTTGATGTCTCACTTCTCGGAGGGTACGTCTTTTTTATATTGCAATCCCCTCATCTTGGCGGTGACATTATTGTCTGCGAGTGCTACTGCAGCCAGTGAGCATCACCATGAATTTGGTCATGGTCACCGAGTTTCTCTACTAGTCCATACTTGACGACTGCCAAGTATCTTTGGTACTCGCTTCCGTTTGACTTGCCCGACGGTATCTGACACATGTAAGAATAGCTCTTCCATCCTCATGGTATCATGCAGGATGGCATCATGCAGCGGGATAAAATAGCAAACCCCATACGGAGATGAGAGAACTGGCTGGAGTTCTGGAGTTTCGCCAACGGACGATGACCGGCCGGAAAAGTGCAGACTATACACATCAACGCGAACGAAGCCGCTGGACTTGCGCAGAAGCGCGCAGACCAGGGCACAGCTACCATCCGCCATGTCAATTTTCCATCCCTGAAAAGTTCTTCACGGCCTTTTTGCCGATAAAGAAAACCAAGGAAAGGGGGCGTCAGATTATCTGAACTTGCTGCCCGGTAATCTCGGTGACTATTTGGATGACAATCAGAATGCTGCATGGGATGAGCACTACGCCCTCACAGCTACTGCCAGGCCGAGTTGTTAAACCTTGTCGCTTAGCCTTCATCGTTTCCTGATGTGGTTATTGCAGGACAATACCGGGTTGGTGGGTCCTCGACATCCAGAGCATAAACCATTTCAGCAACCTGTTCCAGTCCTACCTGGGCTCTTGTTGACAGACCACAGAGCCTCTTTCCCGAGCTGGAGAGACTGTCCGATTAGCCTGACTGTGAAGGGGATTTGGTTTGCTGAGGATGCAGAGGAATAATTCACGCACGGTTTGGGTTGGGTCACAGCAACCATGGGCATTGCGCAAGCCAGTCAAGAAGTATATCGAGCGCGGTTGCAGGTTGAAAGGTCTTGGCTAACGTTCGCGGTCTATGTTCGTAGGATGAATTGAGGTCTTAGTCAAGCGTCCAGAGGCTCTATGCAAGCCACAAACCTTGATTGGAAACTGGGCAGCGCAGCAGCAGCAGGTGGCACTTCGGCAGCTCTGCCGCCAGTCGAAAACGAGAGATCGACGACGTTTAGCAGACAGCCGAGTCGAAGAATAGTACGTCAGAAGTGGAGATCAATGGCCTTGTGGCTGCAACTCTTGAAGCGATTGTTTTCCCATTGCCAGGTGTTTTGCAGGTCTTTCCTTCACCGGAACAGTGCATGGGTTTAGGTTTGTCTGATGCAGGAAATATGGTTCGCTACCGCCCGGACTGTTGACACTCTATACTTGTCCCATGACTTCGAACTTCATCCCTTTCTCGAAGACTCCACAACGTGCACTCTAGCCATCATGGATGAGTTCATTGATCGCCGGCCTGGAAGTGTTGTCAGAGTGGAGTTTTTGGGACCAATGCTGCTCTGGTAGTAATGAAATGACCTGCGGAATCGATCTATAAAGCCAGGCTTGTTCTCCAGCAGAAACAACCATGTGAAGATAACATCTAAACAAGACAATCCAAACGCTATCACAACTCTTCTCGCTGTTCAACTACCTCAATCAATAGAGACTATTAGAGACTCGAACCAACAATCTAGATGACTCGAATCTCGAACGCTGTCACCCTGCTCGGTGCAGGCACACAAGGCTCGCGTCTGGCCTACATGGTATGCGGCATCAAGCTCACCATTCTTCCAGTCCGTGCTAATAACCACTGCTCTCAGTGGTCTCGTCTAGGACGACCCGTGTACATCGTGGACAAGAACTCGAATCAGCTATCCCAAGCATCAAGCACCATCGAGAAGCTGCGCCGCAAAGAGTCATCACCTAGTGATCACGGCCCAATCATCGAGCTAATCGCTGCTGATCTGGACAAGGCGCTCCGTGAATCCTGGATCGTCATTGAGGTATGTATCCCCGTCAGAAGCAGAAATGCCTGGCTATGGTACCAGTTCTAAACCCTCACCAGTGTGTCCCCGAGAATCTAGACTGCAAACGCTCCATCATCAAGCAGCTCGACAACCAAGCCGATCCAGATATCATCATTGCGTCGAACTCCAGCAGCTACTCAATCACGGAGGTCTGCGACGGTTTGGAGTTCAAAGCCGATGACCGATTCGTGAATCTGCACTCTTGTCAGTCCCCCTTGACTCAGCACTCAAGCTCATTCACAAATCGAACTAACAAACACACCTCACCCACTCAGTCTGGCCACCAGAAACACGAGGTCTGAGCTCTTCCCTCCCCCTTCCTTTACAGCAACAAGAACTGATATATATCCCACAACAGTCCTCGAAATAATGGGCACCGACAAAACCCGCCCCGACATCATCCCCCGCCTCATGGACGAGTCCCGCGAGCATGGGTTCCAACCCTTCCACGTCCGCAAATCCTCCACCGGATACATCTTCAATCGGTACCTCGCCCAAGCCCATCTTTTCATGAATCTGACCCGAACCTTTGCACATGCTAATGCCCACGGGCATATTAGGATCTGGGCCGCCATCAAGCGGGAGACTCTGATGGTGCTGGAGGAAGGCATCGCCACCCCGGAAGAGGTCGACCAGATGTACAAGGCCGTCCTGCACACTCCCAAGGGCCCCTGCGAGCAGATGGATGTGGCCGGGCTGGATGTGATCCTGGCGATCGAGGAGCATTACGCGGAGGTCCGGTCGGGCATCCCCGACGGACCACGCAAGTATCTGCGGGAGATTGTGGACCGGGGGCATCTGGGGGTGAAGACTGGCACTGGGTTTTTTGATTATGATGAGTAGGGAGACGGTGTGTGGGTGCTTTGTACTGTACTGTTCTGTGAAGCTTACTTGGCTTGAGTCTGGTTTACGTGGTTGATCTTTATTATCGGTTATCAGGGAACGGCATGTAGAGTATTTTAGTTAATGAAGTATGGGCAGCCTGGCTGTTTGACTGATATTTTCTTTTCTTGTTTTTTTCTGGCATATACTGCATCTCCGGCATTGGGGTCCACTGTTTACTTTTTGTCTTTTTTGTCACTCCTTGGTTTCATTTTTCGGGTGTATATAAGGTTTGTTTACCCTGGCAAGGTTTTGATTTATATATTCCGTCACCAACACATGGGTTATAATCGGAGTTAAAAAAAAAGATTATGAAGATAAGCCCCCTGTTGCCCATTATGAGCATAGGAGTCAGTATCTCTAGATCAGTAGATTTCGAATGGTTGGTATCTTTCAATGTGCTGATACATAAATATACATCAACGAGCTGCTATATCATACATGCGTCTTCTCTTGTCTTTTTTTTTATTTTGCTGTCTTAGTTTTCTCAGCAACTTTTCTACAACATCAATACTAAGAAACATCACAGGTTCATCGTTACAGTCATACTGTTGCTATGCACCAGCAAACAAGGCGGCAAACCCTGCCAGAAGATCTCCAGATCGCTCAGGTACGAAGCACTCGCCGTCTCATTCTGCGCCGTTCCCTCGGACGGTGATGGCAGTGTCGTGAAGATCACCGCCGTGTCTTCGCTATGTCTCACCATTAGCTCGTTCAGAATCAGGTGCTGCGCCCGGCTTGGTAAATCGTTGAACGAGAAGGGCACAGACGCCTGCTGTGGGTATCCAGATGCGGCTGCCGCTCGCGCTGCAAAAACAGACGAGGGCCCGGAGGATGAACGGCGGGTATAGATGGATTCAATTCGGTGGTGAGAGGCGGAGCGCGGCGGGGAGGAGCTAGCGGCGAACATGATGGACGGGCCAGCGCCTTCTTCTTCGGTGTTGACGCGGGCTTCAGGGATGGGGGAGGAGCTGAAGCGGTTGCTGGACGGTGAGCGGGAGGGTTTGGGCCGCGGGAGGACAGTTGATGGTGATGGGGGAGTTTGAGGGGTTCCTGCGGGGTCTGTGCCAGTGTCGGCGGTCATGATGATCGAGGGGACGGGTTGGTCCGGGGTAACAGACTCAGATGATTCTCTTTGTTTGGCTTTAATGGAGCTGAAAATATTCTGCTGGGAGCTTTGGTCGGGGCCATGGGAGTAGTCGTGTTGGTGATGCTCGTCTTCCTCATCAGAGTCGTTATCATCCCGGTATGGTTCAAACTCCTCGTCGCTGCTGTCACTTGTGCTGGACTCGCTGGAGACGTCGTAGTCCACGAAAGCATCGAGCAGGCGATGGGTTTGCATACCCAGACTGACGCTTCCGAGGCCACGGAAGCTGGAAATTGATCGTCGTCGTTTGGACGACTGCATGAGCTTTCGCAGTCCGCCAACCAGCTGGTGCGGTGGTCGTTGGATACCACTTTCCGGGCTTTGGACAGGCCAGCTGGACATCCTCTCTCTTGAGTGGGCGACTCTATCCAGTTCGGCCTGGTCATGGGCCTCGAGAACGCTACGAGCTCGTCGAATGTCTTGCCACCAATCTTCATCCTTGAGAGCTTCGTGAACATGGTCGGCATAATCTTCCGTCTCTGGAGTCACTTCACCATTCACAATCATACGGTATGTTTTGAGGTCTCCGCAGGCAAGCCAGAACACCAAGACCTCGGCCTCGATTCTGAGCTTTTCTAACAACGCCTCGACCCTGCCCCGTTCGTCCTCCACGTCAGTCTCGTACTCGACGAATACTGATACCCGCAGCTTGTATGTCTTTTTCCAAGACGGGACGGTGTTAAGGATACACCCTAATTGCAAGATCAAGGTGTAAGTGTCGAAGTTCGTAGTCAAAACATTCTTCTTGCTCTCAGTATCCGCGCCTAGCTCTGCACTCATCTGAATGGGCCAAAGATCGATATACTTTTTCATATGTTGTCCCTGAGGACCGGGCAGCTCGAGGTTTTCGAATCCTTTAGCCACAGCAACGTTCATGCGCAGCTTGAAGAGGAGATCCTCCAAGATAGTCACATAGCTTCGGCAGGCCATTGGTGTCTCGGGCGAGCTGTCTGTCACTGAAATTGCCTCACGCGAGATGCGTCTACCTCCTGAGTCTTTTCGTCCTGAATCTCTTCGGCCTGGAAATTGGAATTTCTCCACTAAGGACCGGCCTTTACGGAACTGATCGATGATCACAATATTCGGTCGCATTCCGCCAAGTCCCGCACTCAAAGCCACATTGCGAATACCCCATTCTGGTGTTGGAGAGACCGTGATATTGACAAAAGCCTTGACTCTAGAATTCTCAACGAACTTGGTCCACGCACTCTGTTGACGCCGGGCTTCCGGCACGGCTGCGGAAAAGTCATCGGTGACAAGAACGTGACCTAGTACAAATAAGCCCCCTTTTTTCAGAGAGTTGCAGAAGGATATCATCCGAGACTGTTCCTCCAGGTTGGTCACAAATAGTAAGATCTGGGGTCGCCAGAACTTGACGTGCTCTTGCCGAAGCCGAAGCAAGTACTTTCGTACCTGGTGGTAGATCAGACTCTGGCTCACATCCCCCCATGGCTTGGGCGGTGAACTATAGTGAATGAGAAGGAAGAGTAGCATCAGTATCGCAACGCAACCTGAAGCATAGACGCCATCCACAAAAAACATGCTTGCCCCGCAGACCAACGCGCCTGTTGCTGCGGTCTGCCAGTTGAAATAGTGGAAGGAGGGGCGGAAATTCGGAGCAGAGCCGATCTTCAGCAGAAAACAGGCAAGGTTTGTGACAAGGAATGTCATGAGATATGTCATGGTTACGAATGAGGCAATCTGGTTGATGTCAAACAGCATCGTAACTTGAGCGACTATGTAGGTTATGATGATCGCGTAGACAGGTTCATCAGCTTTCTTCGTGCCCTGGCCGAAGATCCCCAGCCCTGGAAGCAGGCCATCTCGTGCAATTGCTTGAAGAAGCTTGGCCGAACCGATAACTCCCATCAATGATGAGAAGAAACTGGTTGCAAACTCCCCCATGAGGATGACAGCCCCGGAGAGATTCGCCTGCCATACAATTAGCACGTGATAATGCGTAGTCTTTTATGCAATCACTCACTACTTGTACAACATTGGCATTTCTGTAAAATGAGTCACGGGTGATGGAGGCAGCCATAGCGACGATCACCAAAGTATAAGTCACAAATGTGAGCCCCAGGCCGCACAGAGTGCCCTTTGGGATGGATTTGCTAGGGTTCTTCAGATCCCCAGACATACTAGCACCGCTGCTGATGTGTGAGTCTCGTATACTATGGTCGTGGGAGACGTACCTACGCGAAAATACCACCAGTAGCAGGGAACAAGATACCAAACAGATCTTGGAAGTTCTCACGTCCTGGGAGCTGGCTGCCTGCCGCACCCTTGGTGAGCTTGGGCTTGAGATTCTCTAACAACGTCTGTAGGCGGAAGCCCGTGAACTCGACTCCGATTCTCGGGATGCTGAACGGTTTCATGAATATTGCAGATAATGGTATGCTGAAGGTTGCGACCAGCAGGATGACCAACAGTCCGTTGCTGGCCCTGGAAAAGATCGAGCTTCCAGCTAAGCATATTCCAGTACAGAGGACTAGGATTATGGTGCCCCAGAGATACTGCCACCAGAAGCCCTCTTCGAGAAAATTGGCCCAAGTGCCGGATTCTGTGCCGAAGTTCTGTTTGAAACAATCAACCAGACCCACCGCATTCATACCAGTGTTCAGCACATATCCAAGATAGAATACTATGCCAATGGAGCCACCAAACTCGGGGCCCAGTGAGCGAGAGATCAGATAGTATGCGCCACCACCGCGGACTGTGCCATTAGTCGCGATGGCGGAAAGCGACATAGTCGTCACCAGGTTGATGGTGTACGAAATGACAAGTAGACCTTGTTTCTGTCAGTCAGTCATCGGTGTTTCTAGATACGACATGCAGTATGTTTACCTAGCATTCCCAGCAGTCCAGCTTGTCCAAGGATGAACCCGAACCGGAGAAACATCAAAATACTCAAGACGTTCAATGTCGTTGGTACAAAGACTCCTGAAAATGTCCCCAGCTTGTCAGGATTGTCGGAAGCTCGGTTCTGAGCCTCGCGCTCTTTCTGGTCTACGCCAGACTCTCTGAAGGGACCTGAAGCTGGGGGTGGAGGAAGAGTCCCTTCCCTGGGAAAGTCGTGTCTTCCATCCCTGCCTTGTCCGCTCCACCACTGGGTAACATTACTGAAGAGATTGGTAGGAAGTGAGTGACGGTGCCGCTCAGGCGAACGTGAAGATGGCCTCAGCGGTTCATATCGATGGTTCTCACGATTGGGAACAGTAGTTGTTCCTTGAAAGACTTTACTACTGTGTTCCGGTGATGCTTTGGTCGATTCACTAGGGTCTAATCTGGAGACATCCTCCTCAGCGGTGCGCGTGGAGAAATTGGGCCTCCGTCGAGACAGGGAGTCCGAAGAATTGGCGGCCCGCTGGTCAGTCATCGATTTCAGCGCCTCCACTCCTTTTGAGTGTGTGTGTCCGCCTGGCCTGCATGCAAGCACCCCCGATAAAAATTGGGAGGGTGGGGTGGAGAACTGTCAAGTCCGGGGAAAGACTAAGATTGGAAGGGGAGGCGGACTCGGCGATAAGGAATTTACTGCTGACCCAGTCACGAGGAGAGTAATGTGACAACAGCGACAGCAGTAATCCTCGTGTAACAGAATGGAGAGTAAAGGGGAAGTAAGGTAAGCAAGTAGCACGAGCACGAGATATGGGGGAGGAATGGATGGATGGATGCCAATCGCGTGTTTGATTAACCGTTATCTTCAAGCAAATTCATCGGGCGGCGATGACCTCATGTGGCCCCTAAACAAACAGTGCAAATCGTCTGTGCTTCTCCTCGTATTGCCTCGTTTGCGACTAAATCGATGATCTCT